AGTCAATGAGATTACCTGATCATATGCAACCGTCCTGTATAACTCACTGTTCATTTTAATGATGCACTCCGGATGGACGCATTAATTTAGTAGCGAAAAATTCACACACACACCTTTTCAATGATATTGCTTATTCATCTGTCGGCTATGAACTTTCGCAATATTAAATGATCAAAAGTTGAATATAATTCTGTGAACTAAAAGAGTTTACATTTATAAAATTATATTTGTAAAATCTCAGCGAAATTGAAATGATTAATTCCAACGTTTCGTTCGGCAATCTGGTCCGAACTTCTTCAGGGAAATTAATCGAAATTAACATAACAGAGCTTTATATTTAAAAGGAACAACTCATGTTTTTAAACTTTGTCCAATCATGAGTCATGCAACAGCCATCAACATGTATAATAAATAAAACAAAAAAAATTTTTTATAAACTGTGATCAAAATTTGACCTCAGACTTTCAAAATTAGTCTACTTTTGTTAAAATATATGTGTATATGCAGCATACAATGGTGTGTGTGAGTGAACAGTCATAAAACATTTGTTATTCTCATATGAGTTGTGATCAAGATTTGAGATGTTTTTACAAATATAATAAGATTTTATTTTATAAATTTGTTATTCTCCCCATAACAAGACGCAGACAATCGGGAATTTGACCAAGTGTGACTAGTTGTTGATACATATCCGATTTATTTATTAGTCAGGATTTGCCATGCATCAGCTAAGATCACACCTTCACGTCTGTTCAAACTGTTGGGATTCACCCATATATGTAGGGCTACTGCAGTCAATCTTTCTTTATATGTACGAAAACCTTTCTGTAAAACCTTAGTCTTATCAAAGTCGATTTTGTGTCCCGTTTCTATCGAATGCAGTGCAATCGCTGAGTTGTTTTCTAGCTTCTTCAAGTCTGCAGAGGTCTTTGGAACCACCTTTAGACATTGTTTATGCTCTTTCACTCTTACATTTACCTGTCTGGAAGTTTCTCCTACATATACGGCGTTACAATCCCCACAACTGATCTGGTATACACAATTTTGCTGGTTTTCTTGTTATACTTTTTCCTTAACCTTAACCAGTAATGAGCGTAAGGTGTTTGATGCACGAAAATACACTCTTATGTTACGGTCGTTAAGGATTCGCTTTATTTCGTCGGATGTTTCTTTGCGGTAAGGGATTACCGCTGTACTAACCCAATTCTTAGCATCAGGTTTTGATTTATCCTTATCTTCACATTTTAAATATCTTTTTATGAAGGTTTTAGGACAATTATTTGATTGAAGAGTGGATTTTTAGTATGATCATCAAGGTAGGTGACTAGCAGTCACGATACATATTCCTTGTCTAACATAGTTTGTTGACATGGAATCCAGTTGGAAAAAGTTGTGGAGTGGTCAAATGAGAATGTGGCACCAATCGGCAAAGTCTTTGGCATTTGGTTATAGTCATTCATTTAAGGACGTGTAGACCACCTGGCTATGGGAACAAACAAAACAAGAACCAATCGGCCAACAAATATGCAGGAGAAAGTGGAGATGGATTGGACACTCGCTGAGGAGGCCACTGGGTGACATCACGCATCAGGCCATAGCTCGAGTGGAACCCGAAAGGGAAGTGGCGAGTAGTGGGACGTCCAAGGGTGACATGGAGGAGATCGTGTGAAGAGGAGTTGAAACAGTATGGACTAACATGAATGCATGTGAAAAGTACAGCAAGTGGAGACGTTGAAGCAGTTGAAGCCCTATGTTCCACTAGGAACCCAAGGAAACAATAATAATAAGAGTGGATTGAACCAATTTTAATTCCTTGTTAATATCTTCCTCCTCGGTAACTAGACGTTTGGCTCTGTTTGCTTTTGGATATCTTCACCAGTGTGTCGATCACTCATTCATCCAATTGCAAGACATTCATTAAGTCAAACTGTCACATGGTCTAGAGCAATAACGACCAGTTAAAGCAACATATATCAGATAAATGCTACAGATTGTTGATCAGTGAAAATTCATATAAATATACAACATTACAAAACATCAGTATCATCTGACACACCTTTCGAGTCAACTGAAGGAAAACATTACTTGTAATGAATAGAATTCTTTTCTTTCACAAATAATTCGATTAGAATTTTCTGACAAATGTCACAGGTATACACGAAAAACTAATGTTGTAAGATATGCATTCAATACATGTCAGAACAACACACAGGTAGGCAAAAATAAGTTGTCTTACAGTTTATTTGTATAACTTGAAAAATTTGACGTTTTAAAAATCACGGACTGAATCGAAATTCACGATAACTCTATATATGGTCAACACAAATTGACAATGATTTCTTAGTTTAGTGTGTCATATTTTTTTAACGATGACCTTGAAAATCAGTTCTAGATTTTGCCACAAGCCGAAGAGACAAATATTACACGTTTTATCAGATAACGGTTAATTATATATATATCACGAGTGTAATTCATCTTGTCTAATTATTATTATTGTTTCCTTTAATTCCTACAGGAACATAGGGCTTCAGCCGTGCATCTCCATTGAGTTCGGTTCTCTGCTAGAGTCTTCACCTGGCTCCAAGTCTGCCCACATGCTTTCATCTCCTCTTCACATGACCTCCTCCATGTCACCCTTGCACTGACGACCAACTCGCCGCTTCCCTTTCAGGTTCCACTCGAGCAATGGCTTGTCTAGTGATGTCACTTGATGGTTTCCTCAAAGTATGGCCAATCCATCTCCGTTTCTTCCTACATATTATTTGTTGCACAATCGGTTCCTGGTTGGTTCGATTCCAGATATCTCTGTTGCTGATCTTTTCTGGCCAGCCATCTGATCTTGAGTATTGAGCAAAGACAGCTGTTAATGAAGGTCTGTAGTTTGTTTGATGTGCTCTTTATGACGCTCCAAGTCTCTGATCCGTATAGTAGCACTGACTTCACTTTGGAGTTGAAAATCCGGATCTTACTTTTGATGCTGAGTGCTGTTGACCTCCACACAGACTTGAGAGTAGTGAAAGCTTGTCTTGCTTTTCCGATTCTTGCTTTGATATCCTCGTCAGTTCCGCCTGTAGTTGAGACGATGCTTTCCAGGTCAGTAGGTAAAGGAGGTTGTTTCTTTCAGGTTCCTCCTATTTACCCTGTTGTTGTTGTTCTTGTTCAGGAATCTTCAACACCTCTGTCTTCTCTATGTTCACCTGAAGTCCTATCTTTGATGCTTCTTCAGCCAACTTGTTGCTTTTCGCTTGCATATCTTCGGGTTTGTGGGAAATCAGACATATATCATCGGCGAAGTCCAGATCCTCCTTTTTTTTTGTGAGTCCATTTTATGCCTGTTTCCTCATTGCACTCCTCATCTTGTCTGATACAGATTTAATATACAGTTATTCACTTTCTTAAGCTTTCCTCACTATTAGCATGTGTGAATAATAATTAACTAATCATAGTAATGAAGCATATGTGGTCGTCTTGTTTTTGATCGTTATTGAACATTTTCAGTACTACTTCATTTCTATGAGCACCTATTGAATTGATGTTGACTGGATGTCAAGTTTCAGCTTTGAAGTTTCAATAGCCATGTTGTTCTCACGGAATGCGATTGCTAACCTTACGCTTAAACTCCCCTCATCTCAGAGTTTACCACCAGCTTGTTGACTAGACGATGTTTAGGAGTGCGTCAGCCGAAAATAGAATAGAACCTAAACCCTTCGCTCGACTGGAGGTAATTCCACCACTGAACTAGTGACGCTGTAAAACAGGTGTTGTAATTTACACATGAAAAGCCACGACTGTAGTTCATCGATCAAATTCGCAATGTGACCACTCGGAAGCCTACTGACACTATACTAAGACTATGGTAAAATACGTTAAGAATTATCATTTTAAGTAATATGGATCGTTTAGCATGCTGCAAAATCTATAGCTTATTCCTAAATAATTACTGATATAATTTCCGGAAAGAAGTTAAAGTCGGACAACAGCCAGCGCTGTACACCAAGAATAAAAAAGGCAATCATTTTCACTTAGGCATGTTGATGAAGACCTTATTTAACTTCCGATCTGCCAGCTGATGAAGAGATAGCTTATTTACCAGAGTACCAGTAATGAAATAACAACGATGGTACAATTTAGCTAGTCTCCATATGTTTAATGTGCTAAACTTTGAGCTTCACTGAGCTTCCTATTAGATTATTTATTTTAACATCATTGTAAATCCAGCTAAGTTCGTGTTCTGATAACTTGAAGTATTTATTTTATTTAATTGGTTCTATCAGAATACTGACCGAAGAATGAATTCGTAGACTTAATGCCCACTTAATACTAGCCTTATTAAAATTCTTACGTACAGCTCTAAGCACCCCTTCTTTAAGTAGCAGTACTACGAAGACAATGAATTCCATTTCCTCTGAGTTTTTGTAAATTTCTCTACGAATTCTAGTGATTATCTATTTAGCAGTGAATGCTTCCCTATCTGTTTGACTTCTTATTCTATCTTCAAAATCCTAGCTCAATAATATCAGCATTTAACTAAACCCGCATTTAATGACTTTGGGTGGGATGATTCGAAGTCTAAGTACATAGGAGAATGTGACGGGTTCTTTTTATAGATACTGGTATCTAATCTTCCCTGTCTTGTTTTCATTTTATTCAGTAGTCTAGATTAACTAATTCACTCTGTCATTTACACATTTCCACCAAAACTAAAAGCCTTACACCCCCAATTATCTATAAGTGTATATCTACCACTCCTGAAGATATTAATGGTCCTACTAGCTACCTCTTTTGTTTATTTGTATATTTCATTCTGAAATTACTAGAGTCAACCCTCCTGGTTTATGAAATTTAACAGCGGCATACATTCTGCCAGGAACCAATATGAATGTTGTATCACTATCATAAGATAAATAACACAAAAAAGTCATGCATGAGACTTCTCTTCTCTCTTCTTCCCTAAGGTGTATAAACCTTTCCCCCATTGATGAATAGGAGTACAGTTTAGTAATTCTCATAGAAAAACTGACTACTACTATTGGTTACATGATTGAAATGGCTCATAAATTGTTTCTCAACACACAACAGTGTTAAGCTCGTCATCCATATGTTAAAGTTAGACAAGAGAGAAAAACCAAACAAACATGTTGTCCAACTAACTGGTACAGTAAATAAGTAAATAAAAAGAACAACAAATGAGATTTTCGGTCAGTATATGTTATTTAAAACAAATATTTTTACAAACATTGACGAGAGAGAGAGAGAAGGAGAGCAGAACATCTTATACACATGTGCAAAAAAATAATAAGTGTGATAGACCTTTACAGAAAAAAGGGATTCAATGAAAAATATACAGTGAGTTTGTTTTTGACTCAGTCATTTTAGTCATGATCAGATACCAGCGCCTAAATCTTTTACAGTCACACTGATAATATTGACATCTTCCAATGGTTTATCGTTTTTCGGATTAGTTTTAATATTTGATACCTTCTGTACAACTTCCATGCCTTTGACAACACGACCAAATACTGTGTGCTTATTGTCCAGCCAAGGCTAAGATAAATAGAAATTGTTAAAGATTGATTAGTGATAAAATTGTTAAATGTCATGAACAAAACAACTTTTTTTTAAAATCAAAAATCTTCTAAAGACGCAATGAGTAATACTCTGCTTAAGGTTGCTAAGTGCTGTTCATCGGATTCATAATGCAATAATAGTTTACAAATCATTATTAGACTGCATAACATATGCTAAGAGAATTGTCTTCATTCCTTTACAAACCAGAAACAATAAGAAGATGAATTTGAACAAGGCAATAATAATGACAACAACACGCATGGAGAGCAGGAGACAAAACAGATTCACTCCTATCAAACTGCTTACAATCTAAACAACAATGCCAATTAATAGTTTTCCTACAATTTCAAGGTTGACGTATAGAATTAAACATGTTGCTAAGTCATACAACAGACATAAGGATCATAATGAGTGACTTAGTATTTGGACACATTCATTTGAGCAGCCCAGCAACGTGCCTTACACTGTCAACCCAATTTTAATTTACTTAAGTACAACAGATATAAAGGATGTCATAACGTAAAACAAACCGTCACATTTTGAGAAGGAAAAAACAAAGATAAAATGTGAACATATGTCAGTCAAAGTCATCGGCTCTTAATCGTATCATATTGTGCCCTTAATTGTTTATTTCTGACGTCCAGCAGACCATAGCTACAATTCCGGAACCTCATAGGATGAGTGAGAGAGCAACAGTAAAAGACTATGTATGGTAAGGCAATTAATATATTAGTATAAAGCAATAACATCATATGGAGTTGGATAAAACGGTTCCATTTGATTCTTCCAGCATGTTGTCAACTGCTTACAGCCGGAATAATGAAAGTTATTATTTTCACTACAGTTTTAACCTACCTTAGTGTGCATTGGAGATGGATTGTCGTAAAATATTCTAGAATATAAACATATTGTTGTAATCATATGTATAATGCGGTCAAAGTTTCATGGGGGAAATGGGGACAAGGTCAGTGACAAGATACTGAGCTACATAAATTGTAAGCTTTTGTAAGTCATTAGAAATATGAAAGAAATATTGTGAATTAAGCTCATTCAGTGAGATATAAGACATACGAAGCATAGCGTTTAATAAATGACAAAGTAACCAAGGCAAATTGAAAGGAAATCAATATTTACACTTAATGAGAGAGATGACAATCAATTAAGGTTAAAAATCAAGTTACTGGGATAGAGAGAAAAAATTTACTCCAGCTTCTTTCTGATGACATAAGTCAGATTTTAACCTTTTGGTAGCGATGACCTCTGTGAATTTCCGGAGTTTTGATTTGCCTTTTTGTTTATTCTTTTGTAGGGATTAAAGATGTCTGCCTGATGTCCTATATCCAATCAGATGTCACGTAACTACACTGACTAAAGATTTATTTCCTTTTCAGTATGTGTTAAGAAAATCAAAGACAGATTTTTCATTCTGTTCTATGAATGTACCTGTTTCCGCAGATACACGTAAATTGATATACACAGTTGGAGTTAAGAAAGGAAGGCTATCATCTGTCGACTTTTGACTGAACTGACGAACACGCTGTTAGATACACAGACATCAATCTGGCTACAGGAAATGTCTTAGCCAGTGATTTCTTAAACTTGTATGAAAACTATTGAATTTCATGGTTCAGATTATAAGCAGCTGATAAGATATCGAGGGAACAGAAATGAATCCATTTTATCCCGCTTTATATGCGTTGTAATTGCTCAGTCCAAATTAATTAAAGGGAGTCCGTGCATTAAAAAAATGAAACAAATTTTGCAAACGAAAAAAGTGAATAACCTCAGAAACAACAGAAGGCAAGACACTGAAGCCAAAGTATATTTTTCGTTAATCAAACCGTTGTTCATATATCTACAAAGTTTATATTCTTTAACCAATCACTGGGCATGTGATTTCAGTTTCGGGATTTCATCATGAGTTGACATTGGTTAGAGAACCATTGGAAAACCAACAGGGAGTACTGGACGCCTGTTTCATCCTAGTTTGAGACTCTTCATCAGTGCGCACCCACCCACCGGGGTTCGAACCCAGGACCTTCTGGTTACAAGGCGAGCTCATCGGCCATTAAGCCACTGGGACCCGATTCAATGACCCATGAATTCTAACTTCTGCCAATTCACGACATAGCGCGACCACTAGCCAATGTCTTCGGTTTACATGAAATAGAATGTTCAAATATACATAGTATTCTGTTGCTAACTCAGTACTGAACTGTGTGAAAAGTATTCTGCCTCTAACATCAAATAGGATGTTCAAATAGATGTATCATATTCTGTTGCTAATGCCGTACTGAACTGTGGGAATATGTGGAAATCATATTCCGTTGGAACACATTGTTTGTATCACACTACCACACCCCCAACTGAGTGAATCGTGAGATTAGGAATTATTCAGTTCACTTACAGTTAGTTTTTCCACTCGTATAGAAATAGAACGTGAACATTAATATATGTATATATATATATATATAAGGCTATCAGTCAAATTATTATTTTTTTATTTCGGAAGACTCCTCTGCATTATGTGTTTTCAATATTCTTCATCTAATAAGAGATTAAGCACTGTTTGCAGAATTAAAATGACATTCACAGATTCCGTCCGTTAATTTTCTGTTTTTTTTTTAATTGAATCAGTTGTGGAAATACAGACAATGAAATACGGGGACTTTATCTTGGGTATGTACATACATATTCCCTAATCATTTATACAGAAGCCAAGTTTAAGGTTAGTGCTTTCTGAGTGATAGTAGAAGGTAACAATTATCTCAAATGGCACAGAATAAAATAAATAGACGCAGTCAATTCATTAGAAAACTCGCCGCTTATTTATCTCCTTTGAATGAAATGATAATTACAGTTAAATTGTCAATACCTTTCCTAATTTCTAACACGAATAAGTTAAATTCATTAGTGAGAAGTTGAAAATTGAAACAACACATCAGACGCAAGCTGGTAATCATGAATATTAGAAAGGAAAAATAAATAAAATAGTTGATTATTAACACTTATTATTATTATTATTAAAACACTTACTGTTGGCGCAACAGTAATAAAGAACTGTGAACCGTTTGTATTTGGACCAGCATTAGCCATACTGACGGTATACGGTCGATCATGCCGAAGACTAGGATGAAATTCATCTTCAAACTCTCCACCCCAAATTGACTCACCACCAGTACCGGTGCCTAGGGTCGAAACATAACAGGTTACAATGAATATGATAAGCGATAAAGAAATACCCAAAATGGACAGTTGTATCACAGGCACATAATAATACTCAGTCATGTATACATGAAAATACTGTTTCACTTATTTACGCAGTTTCCCAAATAAATTCATCTTGAAGTCAGGATATTTCAATTAACACTATCTTGTTGAACGTGGAAATGTACAAAGGCGAGTGATAAATGACCAAAAACTTTTTCTTATCATTTCACCTAGATTGCAAGTCGAATGGCTAACTAACACCACTATAGTACTACAGGAGGTCAATCGTGAGCCCGAATAGCTCAGTGGTTACGTCTCTGACTGCAGCACTGTGTGGAGCGGGGGTTCGAATCTCAGAAGGCACATGAGTTCCTTCTAGGTTGCAGATACGCCCTGCTGACTGGTGAGTGCCAACTAGCACAAAACCTAGGTCCAAGGCTTCCTGATTGATTGCCTCCAACCATCTAATAACACCACCTTTATTGATTAAACAGAAATCCAATCAGTACAGTGAATTAAAATTGCCTTACAACTTCGATTCTATTTAGAAAAAGTAAGTTATTCTGAGCTAAAGCTCATAGAACAGTTTTATGAAAAGTGACACTGTCTATCTACACCCATGAAGAGTTAGTGCATTGCGGAATCAATGGAACATAAATGAATAAATCTGTTTAAAATAATTCCTTTCCTTTATGAATTTAGACAAAGCAATAAGATGTAATTTGTCTGAATCGTGTAATGTTGTATTTGCGGAACACATTTCGAACAATCTGATCACACACGGACTTTTAATAGGAATATATATGAAATTAATAAAAAGTTAAGAGGTGAGGTCAAGTTAAAAGGACATATTGAAGGTCAAAATAACAATGAAGACCACTAAACCAAATAACAGAGGTAATAGTACATCTGCTTTAGTATCAAAACAAAGTTTACCGAAGAAGGTTTAGTGTGATGACGAATTGTTTTTGAACGCATACAGGTGGTTTAAACTTTCTAATTGCTAGGGCTTCCACAAACTTTAGGATACGCCCCAAACACGTTTTATAGGTAGGTTTAGAAGACGTGTAAACACCAATTTTGTGGCCTGTTTCGCAATAGACGAGCTGGGGCTTATGTTCTAATCATCAGTGGGTTCTGGGGATTCTGTTTGCTTCTGAAGCCATTTAGGAATAAATTTGTAGCGAACTTTTACATACAATGATAAGTTTATGACTTTGACCTACATCGAGAACTGATGTCATTTACAGAACCATTGAAAACCAAAGACCACTGAATAAATGTTTTCTCCTAGTTTGGGAATCAGTTAGTCTGTGTTTCTAATATAGTATAGCGCCTTCTCATCTGCTTATACTTTAACTATTAACCAAACTGGATATTCATGTTTCTGGAGAATCCCAAGTCACTTCTAGAATATCAATATTTAGAGACAATACAATGATTTTAAAACTTAGTCGGACAATAAGCTTAGATTAAGTGTAGTATTCAGGTATAATCTCATTCGTTTGAACACTTCAATTCCAATCGATGTGCCGCAGACTGGAATCCGGCTTTACTTGCTTCAGCTTAGGTGGAGAAATAGTATTCTGGCATATTTGCTATTGATAAACAGACATAATTGAAATATGGAATAACGTCTTCGGAGAAATGGTAACTTATGAGTGAAAAGCCACTGATGAAGCAACGTGTGGAAAGAACAAAAATTCTCAGGAGAATCTAGATAGGCAACAGACAACGGAGGACAAAACACACACTGAATACATAATGGATGGTACTATATGCAAATAGTGGAACCAATGCCAAGTTTATCAATTTGTTGATGTTCGTTGTATTATGTTCCAACAAACATTAGGTCTGTGCTAAGCAGTCTTCAATCTCTTCAGTATTAAAAAGTCCTACATATCAAGTCTAGACAACTATCTGCTACATTTTAAATATCGTAAAAGAAATTAGAATATTGTTAAAGCAAGTGTGTTCCATTACTAATTCCAAATGAAAGTGATAAATTATGAGTGGAAATACCTGTGAACAGTCTTTTAGGACAGAAAAGAATTAGATTTAAAACCTGTATACAATAACACCATCTAAATTACTGCAGAAACAACAGTGATGAAACAGCTGTTTTGTAAATCTCATAAGTGTTGTTGTTGTTGTTGTATAGTAGAGATGACATGAAATGAAAATAAACTAGTGTTAGACATAAAAGGTATGACAGTTAATCACAATTGTTTCACACTTACCTAAAGGACAACCAGTTTGAACCATGAAACCTTTAATAACTCTATGAAATATATGTCCATTGTAATATCCAGCTCTAGAGTGACCAACAAAATTCTCCACAGTTCTAGGACATTCTCTAGGACACAAACGAATGTGTATATCACCCAAAGTGGTATGTAGAATAGCACTGCCGGCTAGTCTAGAGGCAGCTGTCGCTGAGTCCCTTGTTGCAGCTAAAACTTCTTCCTTAGTCGGTTTCTCATTGAATACATCGCGTTCAGCTGTCGACCCTGGGGTAATTGTATCACCACTGGAAATCAAATGCAAATTAAATATACTTATGCGTTACACTGTTAAAAAAAGACTTACAATGTGTAAACTGTAATAATTCATCAAGCAGTCTTGGATGACTGTTCTAACGGTTAGTTAACAACAGTACATTCTAGGCCACACTACTGATGAGGATTTATCGAGAAGGCTATACATCGCAACTTGGCTAAGAGACCACACTTATTATCGGTACTTGCTAAATGAGCCTGTTTTCTACATTTTTTTATGTATGCTACTTTTTCATTCATAGATAAATTTCCATTAGGAAATGTACAATATGAGAATAAGTTGTCGTTTTCTATTTTTATTATCTTTCCATTCTCTTTCAGAAGCAAAAATGGTGGATAAAAAGAACAAGATGTTAAGCTATTTTCTGGATCAAACCGTTTGTTGTCATTCTACGAATAAGGTACTTTTCTCAAAATCAAAATGACAGTTACGTTGATTGAAAATAAACAATGCTCTATGAGCGATGATGGGCAAATCTCCCATGCTCTCACAGCTGACGATGGTCGTGGATCTTTAACCATGCAGTTGGAAAGTCAAACACACTCCCATGTACCAACGAAGAATACAGTATATATAGAAATCAGTTTCAGCAGCCAGACTTCAGAATAACATGCAAGGAAGATTATAGACATCATGATAGGTTGAATAAGCCGGAGTAGCGGACACAGAGCCAGCATTGAAGAATCCTTTCCTACCATCTAACAGGTACCAAATAAATTGTCCAAAGCAGCCAGATACCGAACATTCCAAACAGTAGAGGCTATTGCAATTCGCCTAAAACAACCGATGCTTTGTGTACAGAAGAAAAAGGTCCAACCACTATTACTACTCTGGCCTGTTGTGAAGTTCAGATATTCATAAATACCTTTCTGATATGGCCTCCAAAGCCTCAGGATGGTCAGAGGTGGGTGCCTTGCGCTGCGGGTTGGCCATCCCTCCGCACACCTTGAAATGCTCCCATATGACCGGGAGTCTTACATAGCCTCTCCTGAGGAAGTCCTACTCACTGCCTTCACGTGGCGGAGGTGTTTTTCACCAAAGTGAGAGGGCGAAAGCGGATGCCCGGCGCTCTTCACCGGGTTGACTGTCCATTGGATGACAGTCTAGGGGAGATGGCTAAACCCTGATTCCAAACCTCCAACGACTGGCGTATGAAGCCCACTGGAGCTCACCGGCAGACGTATGGACAAAGGGCTTGTTGGATGTCCTGGATGTCTAGACCCATTCAATAAGGCGTATGAACCGAACTCCGGTCACCGGCTGCCAATGGATAGTGGACTCTCTACTCCACTCCTACTGCCTTGTAGGTCACACTTGGTTGTGTAAAGGCTAGAGCTGCACTCTCAAACAAAAGGCCGAGAGATTCTGGGGACATCACTCGTACCAAATTCCCATGAAACTTTATGAACTCTCTGATGTTCATGAAGCCGGCTCATCCTCCCGCAGGAGATAGCCGAAGTAAAGTAAGTAAGTAAGATATGGCCCTCCATCTTCTAGATAGGAATTTCCCCTACCCATTGTCATTACACTTGCATTAACTAACCTTTTGTTTTCCTATTTAAATGTAGTGGCTAACTTACTCACTAACATACATACAGCGCACATGAAATTCAACCCCAAAATTATTATTTTTTCTTTACCCTCATCACTCACATGATGATCATTCATCCATTTGAAGTTTATAATCAATATGAGTAGAATTTAATATGAACATGACTCATGAGAATTGATTAATGTAAATTCGTTGTCATTCATAATCGTCTATTTTGTGATATTAATGTTCAATTTAGTATTACAATTTTACATATTGCCACATACACGCATATATTTGGGACAAAAATCTATTAACAATCTAACTGCGAATAACTTTTGGAATTATGATTAGATGTTAATATTATTCTCAATAACAATCATTCTTTCATTATTATGGATATATAACTGTAGAACCAGATGATGATGTTACTGAGAAGAATATTCTTTATTCAGTAGTCAATCTATTAGAGAAAAGATAACTAACTGAGGTGCATAAGTCGGTTTCCGGATGGTAATCGACATCGTTTGCCACTCCTGCCGATAGAAAATAGTCGACTAAGTACCGAATATGGTCACTAGAGTATATGCTAGGATACTGCTATACACTGTTGTTTTGATGTTATGTTAGGCGATAATCGAAGAATCGCTTTCTCATATCCATCAGACAGATATACTGCCGATATTAAAGAGAGTCACGACCTTGTTGTGAGTAACACCTGTGATGTCGAGCAGTTAATTTATTGTATTGCAGTAACCGATGAACAACAATGGTGAATAGAAGTTAATTGGTGGATGGTGACTAGCAGTGGAATCCAGGATGCACATTTCGTCCTACTTGAGACTCGTCATCTGGACGTATCTGCATTCCGCAGTGATGTTCCCAGCGAAGCTCGAACCCACTGCTCATAGTTTCAAACGCCAAAGCGTTATCCACTAGACCACTCGAGCCACCTCTTGTGCAACTTAAAGTCACTGAAACTAGTCCTGGCTTCCATTTACTACTTCATAGCACCCTTAATTACATCTTACTAAGATAGTAGGGAGTAGTAACAAAACACAGGAATTTTCATAGGTGCAAAAAAATTACCATTATCCAATTTCAGTAGCATAACCTGAACATTAAATGAATAAACTAGTTAAATCGTACCTATTTTTTTTTCTTCATAAAAAAACCTCAATCAGTCATTATTCAGTTAAATTAGTACACAAAGTAATATCGATTGTCAGTGGGTTAGTTAGAATAAAATATAACCAACCAAAGGTAATCTCTTCGTATTCGTACATGCACGAATGCATGTACGTATGTGCATGTGTATGTGTGTGCAGAGAGGGTGAAGTAAGAAGAAAAGAACAACCAGTCACTACTACTTTCTGTGATATATTATAAAAAGTAGTGAGTATTGCCCCATTTATCAGCATACACGAGAAGTATAGTCTGAATGTTAGGGTGGTGATTGCTTATTATGATGATGATGATGTTTACCGGGCAAACCAGTCTCTTCCTTCTAAAGTTCAATGGGGGAAAAACACACACACACTGAAATGCGTGGAAATATGCACAGAGAAAAGGTAACAGCACAGTGTAGGAGAAAGAAAACTTATATGGAAAGTTTTTTCCCAACTTATCGACATATTTTTTCTTCAACACAGAAAAAAGAAAATGAACAGCTAACAACAGCAGCAACAGCATTACTGAACAGATGTCTGTCTGGAGGTATGAGTGTTTGTGTGTGTGCATGTGAATATAAGTCTGGAAGAGAAACATGGATTTATTGAATAGATAAAGTCTAACTGATTGTTAAATGACAACAGAACTAGACACATGAAACACAGATTTGACTGACATAATAATAATAACAACAGTAATGATGATAATAAATATTTGGGATAAAAAGTGAAAAGTGAAGCAAACCAACCAAATAAAGAGGAAAAAACTGAATTACAACAGCACAGCAGGTTACCTAGACATACTGTTGTTCATGCTTGGTGTTCAGTGGATGAAGAGTTTAAAGCGGATTACAAGAGAGAGAGAGAGAGAGGCATAAGAATTTAGCTCTCATAATAATAATTACACTACTTTGTCTTGTTAAAAAAAGAAAGCTATTCATTCATAGTGAGTGAACCTTCATTTGTAAAAAAAGTGTTAAAAAGTGGTTAACTTCAGTAGAAACGAGCATGAACCGTTTTTGTGCCTTTCAATGTCAACTCAAACGGATATCAACAAGCTGTAAAGGAGATACTAAACATACCTAGTACCTTATGCTACACCTCTGTTATGCATGTGAAGAGGAGACTCTGTGTGTGTGTGTATGTTTCTGTACGAGAGAGAGACAGAAGCACCGATGTCCATCTAGGTGAATTCATTTTACTCCTAAATTTATTTCATCTTGTTTAGAATACAGATGTATCATACTTCAGACTTCACGAATCAGCATAAGAATAAAAACTTGTGCATTGTGGTAGAACATAATTCCACACTATTATTATTAATGTATCCTTTAATTCCTAGAGGAACATAGGGCTTCAGCCCTGCGTCTCCATTGAGTTCGGTTCTCTGCTAGAGTCTTCACCTGGCTCCAAGTCTGTCCACACGTTTTCATCTCCTCTTCACATGATCTCCTCCAAGTCACCCTTGGACGACCAACTCGCCGCTTCCCTTTCGGGTTCCACTCGAGCAATGGCTTGTCTAGTGATGTCACTTGATGGTTTCCTGAGAGTATGGCCAATCCATCTCCATTTCTTCCTGCCTATTTGTTTCACAATCGGTTCCTGATGTGTTGGTTCGCTCCCAGAGATCTCTATTGCTGATCTTTTCTGGCCAACCATCTGATCTTGAGTATTGAGCGAAGACAACTGTTAATGAAGGTCTGTAGTTTGTTTGAGATGCTCTTTATGACGCGCACTGCAAGTCTCTGATCCATCCGTATAGTAGCACTGACTTCACTTTGGAGTTGAAAATCCGGATCTTACTTTTGATGCTGAGTGCTGTTGACCTCCACACAGACTTGAGAGTAGTGAAAGCTTGTCTTGCTTTTCCGATTCTTGCTTTGATATCCTCGTCAGTTCCGTCTGCCTGTAGTTGAAACGATGCTTCCCAGGTAGGTAAAAGAGGTTGTTTCTTTCAGATTCCTTCCATTTATGCTGATTGTTGTCTGTTGTTGTTGTTGCTGGTGGTGGTGTTGACCAGGAATCTTCATCACTTCTGTCTTCTCTATGTTCACCTGAAGTCCTATCTTCTCTGGATGCTTCTTCTGCTAACTTGTTGCTTTTCGCTTGCATATCTTCCAGTTTGTGGGAAATCAGACATATATCATCGGCGAAGTCCAGATCCTCCAAGTTTTTTGTGTGAGTCCACTTTATGCCTGCTTCCTCATTGCCCGCTGTTTGTCGCATTATCCACACTATGGGTAAAATTTATTTTGATTAAGTCTCACAGTGTTATACAGTAGTATGTACTGATGACGTTTCGAGCACAATTTATCACTGCTCATAATCACATCAAGGTTAGGCTTACTAACAACGTAAAGGTTAATTCACACAAGAGTGGAATCAGCACTAACAATACTACTCAGCTGATCAAATCTTACTAGTTTTTAGGAACTTTAAGCCCGTTAGACTTACACCAAAATTATAAAAAAAACCAGGTAAAATAATGGACAACGACCAAGCTTTAATCAAGAAACATCGACCGAGCAATACATTCTAGTTTACTCCACCATCCAGTGAAAGATAATGCTCCTAACGACACTGACGTTTATGTAATATGCTAGTTATTGGCAATAGAAAAAAATGTTACAAGTGATGGATCACTGATTCTTTTCAAAGAATGCTGGAAAATGCTCGGAGGATTAATTTGATAATTCCGTGATTCCGCTGCATCCGTTGAGCGAAAAATTTGATTCCATAGACCTCTTCTTATCTACCGGTTTTCGTGTTAGTGCATAATACAGAGTTTCGAGGAAACAATCTACGATATGCCTAATGATAGCTTTTCCCTAGCAGTGACTTCAAGACACTTTAGTTTTGATAAAACACTAGTGATCAATCCATTCAGCTTTAACAGAAGGATAATTTAATTATTAGGGAGCATTACACACCCACAGAGAAAAAAAAGGACTGCAACTGAAAAAGTAGCGTAAATAAATTAAATATCCGACACAACTTACTCCGACTTCACATCATGCGGTTCACGATTAGTAAACAGATAGATACGGTTTTTCTTGAAGGCAGTACACACCAACACAGGGGTGCGTGCTGCTACTGTGTTTGTCCCACTACCACTACTACTATTCAGCGTCGTGTTGTCATCATTTGCCATTGCCAACATCTCTAGACTAGGCACACAGCTTGACGTGCCTGAACCAATACAAGTGGAACCATACAACAGTGATGAACTACGTGGTGGAATGAAAGCCAGCTGAATGAAACGAAGATTTTCTGGACCACCAAGATTCCTAACAACGCGATTGGTTACTACATTGATTACTTTTATTCCCAATAATGTAGCATAGGCTAAAAAGTTGCTAGATAGATCAAAAACTGGAGGAAAATTGAAAAAACAAAAACAAATATGCGTAAGTGTAGAATATAGGCACTGTGGTGGAATATAATTCCATATTAGACAAGTTAGTGAGTGATACAGTATTAATCAATCACTGGATGACGTTACGAGCACAATCTATTGTTCATAAGCCTAAGGAAGTATTCACATAACTTAATAGTTTGCAGAAGGAAATGGAGAGGCCATACTCTGAGGAAATCATCAAGTGACATCACACGCTGGACCATCGCTCGAGTGGAACCCGAAAGGGAAGCGGCGAGTTGATCGTCAGTGCAAGGGTGACTTGGAGGAGGTCATGTGAAGAGGAGATGAAAACGTGTGGGCAGAAATGGAGCCAGGTGAAGACTCTAGCAGAGAACCGAACTCAATGGAGACGCAGGGCTGAAGCCCTATGTTTCTCTAGGAATTAAAGGATACAATATAATAATAATAATAATAATAAATAGTTTGCTTTGTATACACCTATCCTGAATACATGGGAAATTGAGATAAAAAACAACAGGGAATAGGGATATATATATATATATATATGACCATGAGCTTTAAATAGTGCCCAAAACGTCATCCAGTTATTAGTACTGTAACACTGCGCGTTATATCAAATAAACTTATTGAAATAAATGAAAATAGAAATTACTCAACAGATAAACAAAAGACAACACTACACTACACAACAATGAAACTCGTGTTTGAATTGAGTCTTCGTACGGTCAGTGTTTTAATGTTATGCCCCATAGGTGGCACCTTGAGGTAGTGGTCAGGGTTACACATTACAATGACCCAGAGAGATACAGTGTCTGGAACTAGTGTTTCTGCAGGTCCAACCAAACCAGAAATGTTGTTAGGAAGGCGGTTAGACTGAAAGTAAATACCGTCATAGTGTAAGTCGTTTTCACTACGTTGGGTGTGTGTGTGTGTGTGTGAAACAAGTCGTACTGCTGGTGGGTATGAATGTAACAGCATTAAAGTGTTTCTCTCAGATGATCAGCATGCCAGATATGCTGCCTGTCTGCTCTACAGAGGATTGTTAGGAAAGGTCGACCCTAAATAAAGTAAATCCCGACTTACTTTACAACGGTGAGATCTTGATACGGAAACAACTCTAAAAAACCAATTCAAACAGGCCGTGTGTGACTGGCATCTAGGCTCTGAGGTAAGGCGATGCTAATGTTCCTACTGATACACGTACTCTAAGAAGAAATCAACTCTCATAAAGTGTGGGAGTTCGGGAGGCAATAACAACCCGAATAAGCAATGAAGTAACTTGATTAAAAACCTTAGTATTGCGAAAGCATACTTTCTCCTTGACTGGCCGATATTTTGAACAAGTGTTTTAAAAAAGATATGGGAAATTTTTAATTAAAAAGACTGTCTCTGCTTTGAAACATGTTGAAAAAAGCCATATCAGAATAATCATATTCTGAGCTAAAATCAGTTGCCACCGTCTAGGATAGATAAGAATGATCACACAAACAACAATAATAATTTGAATATCACCGTATTTGTTAGATGCCTGATATGTCTCGTGTTAAAAAAAACAGGAAAATATAATTAAAATAATTCGCAAGACATTAGAATCCAGAGGAAAGGAGGATTAATTATCGACATAAGCTGAGAAATGAAAGCATTGACATTAGATGGTTGGAGGCAATCGGCAGGAAGCCTTGGACCTAGGTTTTGTGCTAGTTGGCACTTATAGGTAAGGCAGGTCCAAGGCTTCCTGTCGATTGCCTTTAACCATCTAATACCAACAATTCACAGTGCACTGTGATGGTAAGCCACCTAACATGATGGCCACATTGCAAATTTGACTGATAAAATTCAGTTTGCACCTAAAATAGGACTAGACACTTTACACTAGTTACTGACTGGTATCCAATCAAAAATGAACGTATTTGTAAAAATTGTCACTTTTCCACCTCCACCTTGTGTTTTGAAAAGCTGGATCCAGTCTCCATAAGACGCACAGGCAAAGAACCAAATTTTTTTCAGCAAATCAGTGCCTTGATAGCTTTATGCGGAATTTCACTTTCAAAGTCTACCAAACGCGTGATCACCTTGTATCCAATCCAATAAACCACGAAACTATCGTACTATTATTTCGAAAACTTGAAGGCACTGTAGCTTCACACAAATGAAGGAAAACAACTAAGTCTCACCTAGGTTGCAACTATGTTTGAATTCTGACCGATCAAGCTCTTTCTCCTGGGCTAAACGCCGACCGAATTCCATACTAGGAAGAAGCTGTTTGGACTAGAAAAGCAAAAAATAAATGTTTGATGGTTCAATATTTTTCTAAATACGTGTGGCTACTTATAAGTAGTCAAAGTAATCACACTGAAATATCATGCATTTCATTTCACTCATCTTCAAACAGACCAAAAATTTAAACGCATTTACCAAACAAAGAGATAATATAATAGTATAGCTTTTCATCAACTGATTATGCGTCAGAATTTACAAAGAGCTAGTAAAATTCACATTTCGTATCAGTTTTCCGATACAGTTTGCGTATAAATAAACAGCGTAAGGAATGAGAATGTGCTTCTAAAAAGTAAGTTCTTAGATATACCTGACTAAAAAGAAAATAAAGCGCATCACATGTACTGAAATACACGTCCCATGTTTTTTAAATATCCTATCAAACCTTTTTGTTTCCATGTACTGTAGGACGAACAAAAACCTTTCGAGCAACGAAGTGATTGCTCAAAAGCTAAGGGAACGCAGTCTCCTACAGACTACATTAAACCCATAAAGAAAACAAATCATCTCAGTGTAAATAACTGCAGTGAACAGGGTCATGGGTTTAAACTTGAATTATCGCAAACTCTAACTAGAAATCAATCAATGAGCAGCATAAAACGAATAGTTGTGCAGTACGAAAGTCCTTTGATACTTCTTGTATGTCACTCCTGGCCAAAGATGACTCAAGTTGGTAAATGTCAACACTTTTTTGGATGTGCATCGAGATTTAGTCAGCAGCCAGTCCATTAAGCCTTCTTGAATATGTAAATCAGTTAATTCTTCAGAGCAGGAGTCTGTTCAAACCGATCCTATAGCACCACCCAACATCTGAGACTCCTTAGTAGTCATACTGGGCATCCCTAATGGATATCACCAACTATCATCAATTCCAACGAGTAGTCCCAATAAGCTCTTAAACGACGGTATGAGTGCAACTGGAGAGCGTTGATTAGCATATCATTCTTTTTCAGAACACGTTTCACAGCGAATTTTCCCACAACACCTTTTGAAGGACAGAGTAAGGTGACACTTATGTGTTGAATGCCGGTAATTGTATGCTTACCACCACTTCCTATAGTGTTAAGGCGGCCTAACCTGCCAACACTAAAACTCTACCCTTACACTTCTATCATTGTGTAAGCAACTTATACCATGATAGCCACTGTTTTTAGTCTAACTTCTATCTAATTAACTTTTAAGGAATGTTATCATCTGCAGGAGCATTCATTCCAGTCAACATAGCTCAGTGGGTCATATGGACATATAAAACCAACCTTCACATCAAGCTAACACTTATCAAGAGAGAAGAGCATATTGTATTAGGTAACAGAACAATAAAACAATTCGGTAGCATCAACACTATCAACACCAAAGACTAGATGCACGACACTGGTTACTCTTTAATGACTAGCCAACGTATCCATTACAGTCCTAGGGTAGGTCAATCCTGAGCCCGAATAGCTCAGTGGTAATGTCTTTGACTGCAGTACTTGTTGACGCGGCTTCGATGTGTATTTTTAAAAATACTATAATTGCTTTTTTTCTCTTGCAACACGGCAGAAGAATAACGGGAACTTGGAATAGTACACTATTTTGTTAGCATTTACACTTATCCAGTTACTTAGCTTCATTTTGCTGAAAAAGACTCAAATTACAAATGATGGGAGCAAACAATTGGATGGTAGTGAATATTATTAGATAGTTGTAACTGGTTAAAGATCACTTCAGTGAATTCTGTAGTACTGACGCTTTAATACCCAGGATGGTTAGCAAATACTCGATTAGCTCACTAAAAACAATAAAAGTAATGAAATCATTTTCTCCACGTGAAAAAAAGCCTTAAGTATTTATAGAAACTTATGTCAGCTGTAACAAACCTGTTGTAGGTTAGAATACTGTTGAAGACTTTCATCATAGACGCGAATCAATTTCCCAGTTGCAAAACGAAACAACCGAATCTGAAATAAATACAATACAAAAAAAATACTTGAAAAATAAAGACCCATCTGGAGGACAGAAGTTAAAGCTATAACAAGAATATAAATTTGCAGTAATCAAAGAGGGTTTGTTACAGAGATTATAGGGAACAAGTGTTCGACACACTTAGAGTATTACTAGTCGCTACCAACCTAGGTAATTGCATTTGCATCGCCTGCATATAAGGATATGGTATATCTACACATTTATAATATATAAATGTCCAATAATCTCTAAGTCTACTAATGTAACGACAATATGTAAGCTAAAAATCAACAAAATCTCACACCATATAGGGATCAATCTACTTGTATGATGTATCAATATGTACCATATATATTTGCAATTAATAGTGTTCTCTGAGCTGGTTGGTTTAGTTGCGAAGCTTTCATCGTCCTTCTGGACATCTTCAGCGCCATATTTAGCACAAAGTGAAATGATTTAAATTTCTTCATGAGTGATATAATTGCGTCTCCTGGTAACTATCTTTACATATGTATTGACGACGAAAGCTTCGCAACTAAACCAACCAGTTCAGAGAACACTATTAATTGCAAATCATCCACCTGAGCTATAAATCTTCTCTATTAGTACCATATATATATACATTTCATAACCAAGTGCATACGGAGAAAATTTCGATTATTCGGTGTCATCTTGAAACGCTTTAAAGGCAGAAAATAGAATAATGAAAACGGGGAACTAATCATTGAAAGTGTAATGAGGTATTGGACAGAGATAACAAAACACTGTCAAAAATATTTCACATCACTATGGTTTTATTCAGCTTCCAAACTCAGCCTCCATCGGTAGACTTCAGGATATTACTCCATGCTACACTCTTAGTCGCGTCGGTGGCATAGCGATTAGGACGCTCGCCGACCATGCATATGGTCCGGGGTTCGATCCCCGGCCGACGCACTCCTTTACCTCGCTAAGCCAGAAATAATGCTGGTGAAGAGGAAAGGTTGGGCATGAGGCTAGCAACCCCATCCTGTAAAAATAAACACTGCTACAGAAACTTCAAGCCACTAGGTTGAAGCCCTATGTCCCAGTGGGGAACGTGAAGGAAAAAAAACACACTCTTAGTACAGATAACTTCGGAGACTAGATATCTGACTCTCTCTCTAACTGCAAAGTGCAGATTAGCAAGCAATAGCTAATCAGAAGGAAAAAAAAGAGGTTCGAAATTCCGAACTACAGCACCGAACACTTTGGTTACATAGTGGGAGGGGGTGGTTAAATACGTCCGAATGTTGATTTTTGACAAGCAGTTAACTGGTAATCAAGATAGATTAGTTATTAAAAAAAAACATTTCAAAACCTGTCTAAAAATAAGAGCTGAAAGTTAACATTAGTGTACTCAGTCCATCGTATTACAGTCATCTCAGCACCATATAACCAGAATATTGCTAAATAAAGTGTTTATTAACAAATACAACCAGTACAGTTTCTCAGAAAAAAATGAAGCTTTCAGAAATCCATTTGATTTTTACACCAATTTTATGGGAATATTCCAACATCCTTTTGATATTTTTGATACTTTTCAGAAGGAAATGATGACGCAACAGTTCCGATTACATTTGCCTAGTCTATGAGGAGTTAATCGACAGTGTTCAAAGTTTACCCACTTTAACATAACTGCCAATTGGAAAGTTTATTTAATAATGCAATTTAATGACCTGCTACAGGTTTCTAAATTAGACAGTGCGGTAATTTTTATGTATGGGCACTTTGACATTACCTAGCTGTTCGACCCCAGGTATGCGGAGAATGATTCAAGTACTGGTTACGTAAGGTTCCCTTATTGATGTATTCAAGTCACAGGGTTAGCCAAGATTCACTTTGCTATCTTAAAATACATAACTATAGTACTCCACAAGTGATACATTTTCTAAATGGCGAAATAAATGTTAATTCTAGTTGTGATAACCAGTTGGCTGGTTCTCTTATTTCTGAACAAGTGAACTATCAAATTACTGATAAATTACACTCAATATTGTAAGGTTGCAGACACTACTACTTCATGGTGCATTGACTGAGATGGCAAGGACACGAAGTGTGCATACCAAGCCATTTTACCTGATATAGGATTGGATTGGGTGGGGAAAGAGTTCTGAGTGGTCAAACCAAAACCTGGCATCAATCCATTCAGTCTTTCACTGTTGGTGTTTCAGTCACGTAGCCAGGTATAGACTGGCTGACTGGTTGGGGACCTTGGGATGATAAGTACCAATGTCTGCAGACTATTGGTGCTATGACTGAAAATCCTTCTCGATGGCTCAGATGCATTCACGCTTTGTCATCTCCCATTTACACTGAACCCTCGTGTCTTCCCATCTTACTATTCCCTTTCGCCTACATTTCTGCTCATTAGAGTTCCTTTGAATTTCTTCCTTCTCTCTACTCTCTACCTTTGTGTGATACATGCAGTGTGTCAACTTGAATTGCTGCACTTCTCTGCAAACTTCTATGCTGAAACTTAGTCAATCAGTCTATTGCCCTATGCAGACAAAGAAAATTTATTCAAGTATTGGTTTGTAGAGATTTGATTGATTACTTACAGGATTTCATTATGAGCTCACATCGATTAGAGAACCATTGGAAAACCAAGAGGGAGTACTGGACAGCTGTTTCATCCTAGTTTGGGACTACTCGTCAGTACGCACCCACCGGGGTTCGAACCCAGGACCTTCTGGTTACAAGGCGAGCTCGTAGACCATTAAGCCACTGAGACCCGATCCAATGGTCCATGAATTCCAACTTCTGCCTATTCATGACACAGCGCGACCAAAGCTGTTTAGTACTCCCAGGTTTTCCAATGGTCCTCTAACTGATGTCAGCTGATGATGAAATCCTATAAAAATTTTTACTTGAAAATGGTCATCTCAAACCCAGCGGAATAAGAAACACTTCTTTCATACTGAACTATTGTCAAGCTTTATTATAGCCTGTAACTTTAATGCGTAGATAAGAATCATTTTAAGAAATATACGAATATTTATGGATAAACGATCCCAGATCAATGCAAAAGTTTTAATAAATGAATACAAGGATTTACAATAATATCGTTTACTTTACGAAATTTCAGTGAACACTGGTGATAGTCACACGAATAATATTAGGACTGCTAATAAAGAAAAATTGTCCTGGGAAACATTACGACAAGCTGGATGCAATTCTACAGTGTAAAAACAAATCCTTAACACTTACTGTCGGGTAGGTTGAAAGGTAAAAAAAATCTTTCGTAACTACCCATTTGAAAATGATAGATAATATCTGCATCTCAAAATGCGGAAATGTAACTAGAAGTGTCCTTCAACGCAATGCTGCTTTCGGCTATGTTTACGACAGTTTCAATGGAAAATTAATATCAGTACCTAAAGCACAACTGGACAACTAGCAGTCTTAGACTAATGCTTAATTTCTGTTCTGAAGCAGTCGAGTATTACCGACCGTAGCACTGCAACAAGCATATTAACTATTGAGTAATAAGGTGTGAGAATCGATAGCTAAGCTGAGTACTTTATGACTGGTATTTATCAATTCCGAATAAATAAAACATACAGCAACATTGTCCTCGAGTTTTACCCTTAGTGAGATCAAATGGTCAAAAATCTGGAGAATTTCGCCATCTAGAAGAATGGGTCGCTATTAAGCGATGCGATGCAATCTCGACTTATAACTATGACTTGATTCAATCTACAATACACATGTCTAGTAAGCTAAAATCAGTTGTAAAGCCCTTAAAAGTTGTGACGAATCGTGAACCGTTGATGGAAACCATCTGCGTTTTCTCCTTAACAGCACTAATTCACTTGAATTTTATTTGTAATTAAAACTGTCAGAATGGCTATAGAAAGTTGATTAATGCCCATTATGTAAAATAAATCTTCATATAACCAACATTTAACGATAATCAGGAAGTCATAACAACTGAAGTGTTGTCCTCTAACTCTTACCTTTCTATCTGCGCCGAGAACAGCCAGTATTTTGCCAGAAGGAGAGAATACAGCATTAACTGCATATGTTTTAGCAGCTAATAAACAATAATAATCTGTGTCTGATTTGTACTTCCATTTCAGTGTGTTTGGAAATCCATAATTATTCTTTGGACTAGACCAACACTCAAGCATACCTTCGGAATCAGCGCTTAAAACACAATCGAATACAGGATTAAACTGTAACACAAAACAAGAAGGAAGAAAGAAAAATTAATAAATGCTGGTAGTTGTTAAACAAAACATTACAGATACAATTAAATATAAAACAATTATTTAGCTTTACTGAGGGCATGCATCAATTACAACACGAATATAATAGCAAAAAAGAGGACATTTTGCTCTTTGTGGGAAATTACCCAAAGAAATGTAACGCAAATCATATATTCATGAAACAAATCAGCGACTAAAAGAAAAGCGGAAGCTAATTTAAAATACAACATGAAAACCACAATTTGACAAAACCACAAAAACTACAAATGGAAAAAATTGCAGAGAATAAGGGTTAGATATTGCTTCTGGGATCTGAGAGTAAACTATGAGTTATAAGTTATGAGTAAACATAGTGGAGCTGTGGATAACTGCACTATAGATCATACTGGAAACTATTACACAACAGATTTACATCCTGCTCCATTTAACATGGTTTACCCAATCAAGTACTATTACAGAAGTCACACGAAATACGTGTCGCTAGTTTCCTATAGTATGGGCTTGTGTTGCATCACTATGGAACGTTTATAGCTCAGCTTACACAATGAACACAAGACAGACCAGTAATATATGCTATATGTTGTCACACATACACACTTGTGTTACAATTGATAACACTACTCAGCTGTCCAGGGTGAGGCAGATGGATTTAAACTGACAATCCACTGGATAGAAATCAAATATTGAAGCCATGAGTTTTCCATAGAGTTCTGAAACTAAGTACACTTCCTCTGAAGTAATCAATCAAGTCACTACGTCTGAAATCTAGAAGTAAACTTATTCACATTTACTAAGTCTGATGTATACAACTTTGTAATCAAATGTTCCTAGGTAAGGGCTATAAGAGAACGAAAAAGTGAGGCAGGCTGTAAAAGTTGTAGATCAGTCAAACCACCCCTACAGTTTTATATTTCAACTATGTCAAAGTGATAGTAGATGGAAGTTGAATTGCAGACTTTCTAACAATATGGAATATTTTTCTAATGGTTTCTTATTGGTTTGTACAGGAAAACTCAGGAATGGGTCTGCCTCTCAGAAGACAAAGATAGTCGAGGACTAGTGCCTACCTGAAACGATGAATTCATCTCTCCAATATTCAGTGAAAAAAACGATGAAGAAAAGTTTGCCTACATCCAACTTTGAGAGAAAATACTCTAAAGAATAAACTTTTGTGGAAATAGCGGATAAGATTTTTAGCTCAGATGGATGATAATGAATTAGTTGTGTGTATACTAAAATCTGCGCTGAGGATGTTGTCTAGAAGGACGACGAAAGCTTCGCGATTAAATCAACCAGATCAGAGAACACAACCAATTCAGTATGAGTACTTATCACAAGATGAAAGTATTTCTTCCGATTGCCGAGACTTTCGTCTTCAGCACATTTAGGTTGAGTGATCTGTTAGCAGATAACCGAATTAGTCATATCAAATTTCGGCGATACATGAATGAATATAAAACAGAGTAGAGAGACTCTTTTCAGGCTTGACTATAGTTGTCGTTTATCACTCAATATGGAACGATAAATAACATTCGATCAGCCTTCTTACAAAATGACTTTCCATAAAACCAAATTATCCTTAGTCATTCAACAGCTTTTTTCGATGAGTACATGGTGTTTTTTGAAAGGGACAAAATCAGTTAAGACAATATAACTAGTCAGCGTGTGAGAACAGAGAATAGACAACAATTCATAAATGATGGTGACAAAATCATACAATATGAAAATGTTATTCAAAAGACCTACAGCTAAACACACGATCGGTGCTTCATGTAACTTCTCCATTATATGCAACAGTTCATCTTGACTGCGTGCATCAAATATCCGGATTTTCGAACTATCCTGATCTGTTCTACAAAAGGGAATAACAAAGTGTGTTTTGTTTGAAATAAAGACATTGCTTCAAAAACTACTACCTTGATGAATAAATATCATTAAGCAAAGTAAAATCCCCCCCCCGCAAAAAAAAAATTAAAGAAGCACTATAATAACAAGACTAACACATAGATAATGACATCTGCCCATACTTTGTGGAGTTTTCAAATAGTCATCTGTCTAGAGTGTGTACACACTTCAAGCATACTGTTAATTCCAAGTCTTTCACAATCAAAAATTTCATCCATAAATTATTCAGTTCGAATAGACGTCTTCTGATATGAGAAAAATTAATTTCCCTCTCAAGACTGTGCCAACAAACGACATAATGCGAAACTCTGCTTATCAGTAAGTGATATACAAACCACGATATAGGGGGAGAAGCTGACAAACAGATTACACTTGACTAAAGTATACTGTCGCATTTATAAGAAGCCTCAATATAGAGTATAGAAACGGTTTTCTCAAACCGAATCACTGTAAAGGCAATACTGGAAGTTTAGACCGAAACTGTAACTTCTACTCAGCAGCAGATACTAACGTGTTTCAATGTACCAAAAAGAAAATGGCCTCAAAATCACCTGTAATCTTTGTAACCATGTTGGGAAGTGTAGGCTGACCAAGTCAGTGTCTTTCCGATCTTAAGAAAATAATATATGATAGGGTACAGGTAATTAAAGTCACCTCTTACGTGTGTAATTTCCGCTTATTTATTCTCGCTTGGCTAATACAGTTTTTGTTGTTAATAATAACAACAACATCATTCTGTTTCTTTTGACTGTCGATCTCTGTACTACTGTTAGTTGTCATAAATTGGATTAATGGACGTTAGTGTAAGGTTAAACAGCGATATGCATCGCTATCAATCTATCCATCCTCTGAATTAACAGTTATATGTACTCACTTACTTCCTTGTCTAGAGTTGATTAACTTAAAAGGAAATACATATTGCTACTGAGTATTTTGGGCACGATTTCAAGAACAATTTATAGGAGATTGAAAATGAAGAGTACAGTTGAAAAACAAACATTAGGTTTCTCAGAAACTTATCATCCCCAAACTTAAAATTCCCTGTGAGGTGAACATGATCATCCGTAATGAAAATGACACAGTGCGTCACGGATGATAGTAACAACCAACCAATATCAAACTGTCATTTTTTCTCATGATTCAGTAATCTCCTCAGAAGATTGCTTGGTGAACATTCCCTTCACATACTATCAAACTTCACTAATCTAAGATATTTTTAACACCCCTAGGATAGCTGCAGGATTAAAGTGAACATAGTAATATTCCATTCAAATACAAAACTTTAATGATCACACAACTAAACAATTATGTATAAGCAAACAAAAACAACGCCATAATACCATCATCAACCATCAATTACAAGCACTAACAGACTAAACACATACATGGCTAATGCAGTGATTTCATCTTTCGGTGTATAAATAAAACAGCATCCACTCGGCAAGAAATTCAATTTCAACATACTAATCATATCTGCAGAATTAAATAAAAAAAGAAACAAACAAAAACAAGTTTATACAGAAGTATGTGTAAGTGTTAACAGTTAATTACTGAAATCTGCCATAATTGTCCAATTTCACCTGTCAGTGTTCAGAAACAGTATGACGGTTATTATTAAGCAAGTGTATACTAACTACAGTCTGAATAATCGTAATGAAAAATGTACGCCACACATTCTCTAATCCAATGAGAAGAAAGTTGTTTAGAGGATTTTATCGTGAGCTGACACTGGTTAGAGAACCAATGGAAAACCTAGGAGTACTGAACAGATATTTCGTCCTGGTTTTGGACCCTTCAGCAGCACGCGCCCGCATGGGTTCGAACCCAGGACCTTACTGCTACAAGGCGAGCTCATAGACCATTGAGCCACTGGGACCCGATCCAATGACCTATGAATTTCAACTTCTTCTGGTCACGCTATATCGTGAAGTAAGTGCCTATACAAAAGTGATACCAGAATTGTCAATCTAAAGAAATGGCAATTAGTCTTAAAGTAACTGAATGTTAGACTGAGTTGAAATGAAAAATGTAGGCTTTGTAACAGAGGCTAGGGAGATATGAATAACTGATAATCTTAGAGTGTTTTTTATGTTTCCATTGGAACATAGGGCTTCAAGCTAGAGGCTTGAACATTCGGTAGCAGTGGTGTTTATTTTTAAGGGGTGGGGTTGCTAGCCTCATTCCTAACCTTCACTGTGTACCAGTCTTATTACTGGCTTAGCGAGGTAAAGGAGTGCGTCGGTGGCCGTTGATCGAACTCCAGACCACATGAGTGGTTGGCGAGGATTCTACCGCTGTGCCCCCGACGCATAACCTTGGAGTGTTAGTGTAAAAGACACTTACAGTGTGATAAGTTGATTCAATTCCTAGCTTTCACCGTACATTGAACATCATATAACTTTACACTTAGTTGATTTTTTTCTATATATTTCCTCCTATAATTAGATTTTCCTACAAAAATACAGTGAAACTCAAGTATCAGACTCTCCTGCTTTTTTTCAACCATTTAAGTAATAGCTCAGTTCATTATCGAAAAAAATTTATTATTGAGCTTAAATCAACCTAACTGATTAGATAAGCCAAGTCTGTGTACAGAAGTGTATAAGGGAAATGCAATTTTATAAGCTAATAAATGCTTACCGAAATTGATAACATCAAACACCTTTGCAGTCTTATCATCACCAACAGTACACGCTAGTTCACCATCACAGCTAACTGACAAACCGAGTATAGCTCCTATTTTGGAACAGTATTAATGAAAGCAAAGTGATTAATTGCATCTTAAAATATTTAAAAAAATATCCTATTAATTAGAATATAATAAATAAATTGATGAAGTTACGCAGACTAACTAGATTAAAATATAATATTTTCACTTATATGAAGGGTCAAATAGAACCGCTATTCAAAGTCTTCATGAGAAGTTTAGTTAATTTCACATTCACTCACCGAGTCATCCATCCCTCAAAGGATAAACTGCATTCCTCGATACTAGTAGGCTCTAAATGACTTGGTGCCGTCAGGTCATGAGTTTAAATCCCAATTCCTACCAGTCAAACAATAACGTTGTATGTAACACTAAAACACATTTAATTAGCAGACAGAAATGTCGCGCTGTTACTGAAGAAAGTAAATAAATCCAGACAATTATTTATAAACTGACTGGCGAAGGCTAACAGAACAAATCCAAACTCTTACCTAGAGTCTTGGTATTGGAACGATCAAAATGGCTCAGTTTATTTCGAAGGTGTTGACGATGCTGAGCTATTTCTCCGAAACTCTCCAACCTACACCATATTTCAGCATATAAGATGACTATTCACAGAATTCATAGATTCGAGTCATGTTTTGATACGACCACTCGTTAACTCTTTTATACCTAATCCGGCTTCAAATAGCATTACTCTTTAATGGGAAAATTGAAGCTTGGCGAGTATAACACAATTTTAAATCACCCTATTCACTGATGAATCACTACCTGATCTCCTAATTTACCTACCTTATCTAACATTCTGCATTGCAGCATCACTAGCCATGTTATTCTATCTAACATAAGCGCTCGAACGATGACACTTATAACCAAGAAACTGCAGTCTCTTTATGTTGGCTACTTTGAATTACCATGTCTCACAATCATACAGTGGTAAAAGTGTGGTTGCTGCCTGGTGAGAAGATCACTATGTCTAGTGACTTTCATTTGTGTTGCATGCTTTGGAAACTACAGTACTGCAGGACAACAGTGCAATGCCTTAATTATTTGAGATTAAACACCTTTCCAAAGTTACAAAGTAAGCAGAAACACTTTATTATTATATAATGAAACTTTCCAAAAAAAACTATACATGAGTTAAGTTGCCTATTGCATATAATATACGAAGTCGACGAAAACTTTCTTGATGCATTGATTGATGCAAAACAATAGATAATAAGATGAGATACCTTCTTCTTACCTAAATGTGCTCGATAGTGCTTGATGAACTCCAATCCAACACCATCAGCTTTACGCCAAAATTTAAAATGACCGTCATTACTACAAGTCATTAAGTAATGAGTTCTGGAAGGAAAGAAAAGATTTTGAAAAAACTTATTCAAAAAAGAATTGGGTGTGTGATTCATTTGAGAATGAAAGCGTTTGTGATATGGGATACTTATGCGGATCGGTTGGCGGGTGGTAGCTGGTGCATATTTCTAGATTCCTGGGTGCCTTAATCGAAAGATATAGATGTGTGTGCGTTGTGGTAACTAAATGAAAAGACACACCACTGTTGGACATTGTAATTCAGCATTAAACGTTAGGGGATAGCTGGTAGAAAGCCCTAGACATACATTTTATGCCCAAAAGAAAAGATCCTTCTGAAGTTTAACATCAAACATAGGATACATACTACTGACTGATATGAGGAGACTTAAAGTATTTACACGGATGAACAACGCTCGGTATTCAGATCCCAGTTATCTAGCCAACTGACAACCATTTCCTTTGCTTAGTTCAAAACTTATTACTATATCAAGATTACAATTGCAAAATTGAATATGCTTGCAAACACATGATCTAATTGTATGGTTCATTAGTTTTTCAAGTTGCTGATAAGGATTCGAATAATTTGGATTCCTCATTTATCTCAAGTGAGTCAACCACCATAAACTGCGCCAGCGATTGAAGGAATCTGTAACCAATCAATATTTCAACTCAGTTATCAAGTGCACTATTTTGTGCTTTAGGATGAATCTGACTGTATAAGTCAATAATATTCTTTGCCAAACATTACGCCTAATTCTAACAACATTTACCACGCCCCTCCACTTAATGTAAGCAACTGAATGAACAAATCTATAGTTAGAAACCTCTACTCTTCTCATATATTTGACTTTCGATAGTAGTATTTCTCTAATAAAGTGTTACAGAGTGAAGTACTACGTTGTACACATGCTTATTTTTGCTCTCATCAAAAGAATACATGTCCGCTGACTGGCTTCCAGAAGGGTTAGACCAACCCGCGTCATTTCATTCAGACAATTCCAGCGATGGATAAATTTACCTTTTATATGTTTTCGGTACTTTAAAGTTTCTGCTGAGGTTAGACTGATTTTTCGAGGTAGGGTTGCTAGCCCCACGCCCAACCTTCGATCTGTCCCAACCATCCTTTCTGTTATGAAACTTTCAGGAGCAACTTTTTCAGTCGTTATAGCTTGTTGGATCATTCTAATATGTTCGCCAATTACGAAGTCGAAGTGAAATATTGGTCTTGCTATTCAGTATTAAAAGAGCTAATAACAACCGGCACATTTAGACCCATGTGATTACCTATCTGACCGCTACAGCATAAGGCTTTTTCTCTATTTCAATAAACGATAGAAAGAATAAATACTGGCAAGTCGCAATTTAACCAGCGAAATTATTTAGTAACACTAATCTTCATGACCTGCATACACTTTACACATAATAAAAATGAAAAGCTGATATACAGATTGCCATCTTTTGAAAGAAAAGACAACTGAACTATTGATAACATAAGACCGTCAAATTAAGGAATGTTATGGTGGAACAAAATGATACTTCTTTGAGTGTTAATAGGGTGAGAATGCCGTCTTAAAAAACGTCACTCAATAACTAGCGTTTACACACAGTTGGCAGTAAACACCACACTTAGTGTGTCAGGGTTAATGATGCTTAGACCTCGACAAGTGGAGAGTAGCTTGAACCTATACGTCAATAGCTGGAAGTCGATTCAAACGGATAGTAAACACACTTAAAGCGTTCGTGTAATTTATGAATTTGCTTTCCTCTTTTTCATTCCTTTACGTCACAGTGAAACAAGTTTGACCGTTAAATTTTCAGTAGTGGTGACGTTTCTTATGAGGTGAGGTTGCTATTCTCATAACAAACCTCCCCTCCTTTTTGGGTTTATTGTCGGCTAGGTGAGGGTTTAGGACTGTTTCAGCCAGGAGTCGAATCCGGATCACGTGAACTATGTAGTCAAGTTGTATTTTGACTAATCCATGAAAACAGACTAACGGTTGACGGGGATGAACCCATACAACGAAGAATACAAGATACAGTGGAAGTAACCTATACATTCTTTTATTTGCATAAGCTCTCTATTGAAAAGTGTGCTATCTCCGCTTACGGATGTCAGCATCTCATTCTGATTCCATTTATGAATTTCGAATGTGCTCATAAATACTAATCTAAGATAGATAACCCCAATTTCCCTGGATGAATCATACAGTGGTGACATCTGCATTATATCTACACACGTCGCAGTACCAAAAAAATCCATTACACAATTTTATGGGATGAAACAAACAAGACCTACCGATGTCGCAAGACAAAAATTATGATATAAACTTAAATGGATACATAAACATGCTATTTAAAAGTCATCGGCATCAGAGTAGATAAAGTCGGTACTTTTTGACTACATCTATTGAACACTCTATCATCGCCACATGAACCACTTCGTAACTTAATAGGCATGGTTAAACTGTGATCACTGCTATTGCCGAAACTAAAAATACACTTACTTAGAATAAGCAACATGCGTAATTATGTTTCTATGCATATAACTTATTTCGTAATATTGAGCAGTTGGGATATTTTTCAGGTAGACAGATTCATCCTTCAGAACTGAAACACAAATTTTAAAAAACCAAATAAAATTGCTTTTTGGTAAATTAAATATAGTAGCTGACTAAATACGTATTTTCATTTAAGCCTCACGAGGATCACTGTTTGCATTCAGTAGTATTTACATTGAAAATATGCATACACTGAACGACTTGATAAATCTGTAGTGACAGTTAAGTGTACAATCAAAATTGCAAGAAGAAAATAACGAGGATTTAAAAGTAGAGCCCAAATACTGCGACAGTATATAAGTACTCTTCATATAAGTGCATTTGATATGAAATAAATCAATGCATTACTACTGAGTAGTGTTTTAAATACGAATAACTGTGAATTGTATTCGAAACCTCCCTCAGTAAATAAATACTGTATCGTTCTGTCCAATAACACGTAAAATAATTTAAAATAGAATAGTTAAACGAGATGTTTTCGCACCTTAATAGCCCTATTAACTAAGTGTGAAGTAGTTAACTTCCTGGTGACATTACTTCGCTTCAATACCAAACCCAATGGTAACACTTGTTAAGCATTAAAAAGAACATCATGATTTTTGAATTTGATCCACTAAGAACTTTACAAATGATATACCACTTAGTGCTACCGTTAAACCACAGAGATGTTTCGGATAAAAACATACAACTTTGCACGATATTAAGAGTTAGTTGACAGGAAGTTATGAGTCTATGTTTTCGCCTGTCGACACTCCTCTGATATCTTAATTCATATCATTCTGTGCCAAATTCAGATTTTTTTATTATTATAGCTTGATTCCACACCGTATTTTGGTACAAGTATGGGATTTTCAGCATGTGATATCGGTAGCCCAATTTTGCAGGCCGACCATAGATATCGGGTGTGCGCCGGCAAGGGATTACTAAGCTACTTAGAAGCCTATTACTGTAGTGACTAGAACCTGTTCTACCAAACTAGTAATTCATTATTTTTTGAACTTCTGTCCACAAAATTACCTTCAAATTATGAAATATAAAGGACGTTTTAAAAAGAAAATTCAGAGGAAAAAAGAATTCCCTCAAGATGTTAGGTATAACTTGGATGTAAGTGACGGAAATCACAAAGTTTACAGTCCCTAAATACAACTTGCTCGTGAATATATAGAAGCAAGAATCCCACATTCAGAGGTTCTTTATAACTGTTCTCGACCGTTTGACCTTAAGACCTATAAAAATATGATACCCAAAATATCTACGGGCTTTGTTGTCTCTACGCACTTTTACACTGGCTTTTATATTTTTCCACAAAAAAACTGACTAGAATGTAAAAAGCATAGCTAGAATTAAGAAGTGTGTATTTGTGCTATAACTCTGAAGTAAAAGCAGATAAGGCAGCCGCTCACTGAATTAAAGCAGATATTTTCAGTCTGTCACCTTATAAATAACTACGACATGAACTAAGGGAAAAATTAAAATTATTCCGAAGTCTCACGTATTTAATAAATAAAGTGGTTAACCTTTTGGCTTTTTGGGGGGAGCAGGAGAACAGTCATTACTTCCACTAACATCATCAGACTGCGGCATCATTTCAGTTGGTAAAGGGCCAACTGTGTCTTCTCTAGATCCATCATCGACATCAACTTCATTAGAAATTTCGGTCGGGAAGGGACCGATGTTATCCTCATCATCAGACATGGTCCTTGGTTGAGGGATAAAGCTTTTCTACTGAAATAAGCAAAGATAAAGAGGATAAAAATTGGTGAAATAACATGTCACTTCAATTGTTCACGGGAAAAAAACCACAACAATAAAAAAATCTGCGGGAAATCACAATTGTGGTTGGGTAACAAGGGCAAATTCACTAAGGAAACTAATTTGAGATCAGAAGTAGCAAAATACGCTCATTAGTTGAGCGACTTAACCATAAATTCTGCTTTTTTAAATCTATTCAGAAAGACCGTCATCTATTCGTATTTCAAAAAGGATTTAAAAATGGGTTATTTAGGTATTGTAGTCAGACTACTTTGAGACTATCTTCACTCTGCCCCGATGAATAATATAGAAGTTTGCGATAGCTCCATACCCACCGAAAGCATTTTCCAATTACCTCAAGAAATACCTTGTTGCCTTAGCAATTCAGCCACATACTAATCACTTGGATTTTCCACGAGACAATAACAGCGCTTCAAACGCACTGATGGTTGGATATTTCTACGTTTTACATACGTCTTACGTTTATCAGATAACATTAACAAAGCAGAGTTGTGCAAGATATCAGACACTTAAGAGAATCTTGTTTCGTGCTATTGTCAGAAGCATCTTCAGAATTTCTAAACAGCTGGCATTTCATCATTTTTAACTAAATATGGCTGGTGAGACTTCTATATTAGGCCATGATCCATACATATGTGAGTTCATGACGCTACTCCGTGGACTAAGTTGAAGTAGGCAGAAAGAGACTTAAACTCAGAACCTATTGGCCAATGAGCCAATGTAACCACACAATTAACGCTTCTGATCAAAGTACCCAAGTAAATTTCTTTAAAATTTATGTTTGAGAGTCAAGATAGCAGTAGTTCGCCAGAATTTGAAACAAGTGGGACTACATTAAATGTTAGTTCTACACAATAGTAGTGCTTCGTAAAAAAGCAATATCAGTCCAAAGCCCCTTTTATAACTATTCAGCCAAGTCAAACGGATATCGACTGTTATCTGAGATTGTGAATTTCCTGTTACTTGTTTTTACTGAACCGAAATGATCGGCCTGTTAGTGTATGCACTCTTTGTACGGAATCCTCCATATCTTTGATATCCCTTTAACAGACATTAGCTAGTAATGTGATCTAGAACGCGCATTTCCTTATACTTGTGACTACTCCCCTTTATCCCAATGAGTAGGTTTACCAGATGCTTGAACCTAATAACTATTATTTCACCTGTCAACGAGCTATTGGGTAATGAGGGCCAATATATAGGCCGATCATTCAGATTTAGTGCAAAAATACAACAGAGAACACATCCTTATGACAACTGGCGACAAGAAACTTTGTAAACAGAAAAACTCGCTGTAGCATTCCTACAAACAATGAATTCAGCAAAGCAACATACAATTTAGTGAGCCTAACTGTGATACTACGTTAACATATAATTTTTACGTGTATACTGAGAAGTGTAAGATATAGATAGTTATCAGTACTTTCCCCCAACGCACCCATTAACTGTAGTCTGGAAACAATATTCTACAACTGCCAAATATAGTCGAATGTTCACTCAATAAATTCAAAAGACAATACATTCCGCCAAAAAATATATATCGCCTATGTACTTTAAGATTAATATCTACCCACTAGTAAACAAAAAACTTGAGAGTTTTAGTCACAGTCAACAGGGTATCTATAGCAAAGTTGAGTAAGAATAGGGACAAGAAGTCCACAGTGAAAATCACTAGTCGCAACAGGTGAAAACTTCACGAAGCATATTACTTCTGTAGAAATCACAGTACACATTTTTACTTAACATACCTTTTAGTTCCTAGTTTTACAGTTAAAAGCCATCACCATCTCTCAAACGCAAGTTAATGTTAAGCAAATAAATGCGTAACATCAGTGGTCACAGCGTACAAATAAAACCTTATCACAGTAGTAACATATTGCCATGACAATAATCAAAAATCCACAATCTTCAAAATAATAAGGAGTGAATATATATCCGCTGTTAGGATTCACTAAACACGTTATATTGCATCTGCCCCAGTCGCTTCACAAATGAAACAATCAACACACTAGGTCACTAATCTCGTTTTACAATACAAAAACATTGGTTACCTTCACCATACTTTTTTGGTCAACAGGCAAAGCAACCTGACTGTTAATAATCCAACACTCTGAATATGCTGTATGTTACGAACATAACTAACATAAAGTGGAACACAAATGCATTTCGTCTTAGCCTAGCGCAAGATATGTGATGAATTGATAATAGATTTACCGAACTCTTAATATTTCACAACAAATTCAGTATAACATGTTTCCAACTCTAGCTTGAGCAAATAAAACTCTGAATATTCCATAGTGATATTCAAGCATATGACGTATAAAAATGTATTTCAAACGCATGAGGTGGGCTCTAAATAACAGCTAACTGAAAAATAACTAGCAGCACTAACATTTCAAAGGACATAATCCAATATCTGAGTAAGATACACCCAAAACAACAAACTCAGACGAAACCTATGGAGCTTTTCAAGCAAATGTGTTTATTTAGGTTACAGATACAGTTTGTATTACTAGCAAGTGCTGAATTATTATTGAAAAATACGAAGCTTTATTAAATTCTTTAAAAACTGGCTTGCTTTACATAAAAACATAAATCAAGTCCGAAATGCTCTAAAAATAGATATATTCTACTTTTCCCTAAAGCTTTTGTACAAACAAAACGTATGTGTAATCAAATACTTTTAGATTTTATGCATCATGTTGGTGGAAATGGAATATTAACTTGATGTTCAGGAGTAAAACGAGTTGACATTTGGATAGGATGCAAAAATAATTTCCTTGACGGAAATCCAGGGTCTTCATAATCGTTCGAAGTTTCTGAAGTATATCCACTGACTAGCACTCAGCGTTAAAGTTATATACTTTCTTAACGCCACCTAATATCCGCAGGCGCTTGCGCGAACACCTTTACTTTACATAAATCATATTCAGGCCTAGTTAATACTGCCAATTTACTATACAACTGGTACCGGGGAATTCATGATAAATCAATGGAACTATGGTTCCAGTATACTGAGAAATTACACATGTTTATAATGTCCTAATGGAATCTCTGATGCTTCCTGAATGTTTCTAACCAAACAAGAAATTTTGAGACGAGGTGGAAAACATCCGAATCATTTCTGACTATCAAACATGCTTGTTTAGACATCTTTAGTACAACACGTGGTACATTGCACTCGAAAATGCGGTGATCTTTACTGGTTCTGAAGTTAACTACACAAAAAATAAAGGCAAATTTCAAATATGCCAATGTCGTTAAGTGTTTAGAAGAAAATAAGAGGTAAAACTGTCAATTTTACCAAACACAGGCACTAACTTGCAAGTAACGCTTCGCTTCGTATTGGTAGCAGCTTGTTGAGAGTTCAATTTCCTAAATATCTCTAATAAGTTCAAAACGAAATTGCATTGTTTCTGTAGTACAAATCTCAACTCCGCTGCAGCCATTCACTCACATTCCGACGGAGTTTTCCAATTTCAACCCGACTGTAGTGTTTGTGTGATATGGTCAGCATATATAGGCCGATCAGGGAAATAATAACAGTAATGATAGGGGAACCAGAGTGAAACATATGGAGGTATGAAGGGAAATCCTGTGACACTGTTAAGGTTAATGATGAAAAAGAAAACTGGGTAGCAGAATTAATTATGAAAGCTGAAAAACTGATGTGTTTTCAATATGCGTGATAGCTACGTCCGAAATATTTGAACTGCAAGTTGGCGTTACTTCGTGCCACTAAAGGCAGTGTACTTATGGCTCAGTAGTTTTGGCTTGTAGTCCTGATTTCAGTGACTGCAAACCAGTAGGGGGAATATAGATGTGCACCACTGTTTAGCTGTGTGGTAAGCGATCTTTCGTAGGGGTTTTTATTCAAAAAGGTCCATAATCTTCAAGTGATCTTATATGTGGCGATCAAACTGACTCTTCAACTCGTTTACATCCATTCACAAACTAATGCAGAAACATCCCACAGCATTCCTATATGCGACATCAGATCGTATTTAATCTATGAAGACACAAAAGCATTATCATGGACTAAACTTCGAATAGATCAATTAGATGTGCTGCACCAAATTTATTTTAGCGCTGTGGCCTTTAGCCTGAATATTAATCCTCAGCATACCATCCCTCACAAAAAATTTTAAAGGCCGACGACATAAGTTTGGAGGCTGAGAATGATGAGCGGTTTTGTTACTGCACATGATATATCCGATGTGAGCGATTGATAGCTCAAGATATTGCCTATAGCTAACCCAGGAATCAGCCATTATACGAATGCAAAGAAGTTGAGTACAATACCTGAATCATCTACCCTAAGCTAATATTTTGCATTCATGTTTTACACAAATGGTTCAAGTGGTTTCATCTGAACACAAGTACATCACCACATATGCTCTCTGTGTGGTAGTTGTGTGCTCAAAGAATATCTGTTCACTTGGCTACACGTGATGCATCTACTTCTGCAAAAGCTCTTTCACTCAATGCTGAACCATTTTCAGACACTTGGTGTTGGCACAGACAGTATAAATTCCAGCATGATCATAGGCTTTATCAGAAATACTGGTGACTGCTGCCAAGTGTCAGAGTGTGATTCTCTCATCCCTGGCTGAAATACAGTAATTGCATTAGTCTGTTCGATTAGTGATACAGTTATATGGCTGATATACGCGTTTCGTCCCGTTGCAAAATTAATTTTTAATATCTGTTATTGCCAGACCATGTTTTATCCTGACATCAGTATTCTTGAAATGTCTGCAGATAATTGGTGCAGTTGTTCAAGAGATTCTGATCTCCACGTAAAAGATATAGATGTCTACTGTTAGTAGACCACAGATGGAGATTACCTAAAGAACCACTGTACCTTCTGTTGGAGTAGATTCCATCTTAGGTTTTTTCTCATCTGCTGAGTTGTTTGGCTAGAAATATTATCCACTGTAAGAAACATCACAGATGTGATTGCCGGGCAATATTCTGTGACCACTGTGTGTTTGGAAATATAACAACTTCCATCGAGGTAAATTGTTCAGGTGATGTCAAGCGGCCGTTGAATGGTACAAAGAATACAAATCAAGGAGAATTAAAGCAGGTCCATATTCGGATCATGACGAACGTGTTGTAATCGTCAACTTTCTTTTGGCTTTAACTGTAAGAAGGGAAATGCATCCAGAGGGCAGTTATTTGCACCCCTAGAACGATTTGCATCTCCTTCTTTTCGTGACTTCGACTAGAAAAAATAAGCTTGATCATTATGTGGCCGTCTATCATTCTGAACCTACAATTTGATCACACAACTCGCTGAAGCAAAGTATTCCCAATGGCAATTTAGCCACCAGTCCACCCTAAACACTGCCGCAATTAAGAAAAAATATAGCTCCTGTACCCATTCAAGGGTGCACTGATCAACTGATAGTGCTGCATGTAGATATGCAAAACCAAAGGACACTACAGAAGTTCCACTTCCCTACCTTCAAAATCGAATTCCGTGTGACAAGCCATCATTATCACCTTAAGCACAAACAAATCAACTGATCGTTGCAGAGGGAACAATTGAAACCCAACTGAATTTACGAATATGTCTGATTTACAGCAACAAAACAATGAATATTAAATGCCTGTAAATCTTTCCACATCCAAACCTCATGAACTTGGGCCATCTCCGGTAATTGTTTATTGAGATTTTAAGGTCTACATTTGCTAAGAATAGGATGCTTCCTGAGTTTAATTCAGAAGTCTCATTATCGCTTCCAGAACATTAATCAGAATTTTCACATATCAACTGCACACTGATCCGTTAAATCAAATATATAGGGTCTTATTCCAGAAACCTTTATCCAATATCAAATCTTTGTATACATATAGACATAATGACCTACTATAGGCTTTATGATGTTTCAGTGGTCACTTCTTGGTACTGAGGAACAATTTCACGCTTAACACTTTCCTATACAACAGACTCAACGACGTAAGTCATGTAGGTTAGTTGAACTTGTCAGCGACTCTGAAGATAGGAACTCAAGGCAGATGCGCGTCTAGGCTGTCTTTAGGATGAACACCAAAACTAGTTTAGCTTACAAAATACGTATTTAATCTTTTGTTGGTCTTTAAAATATGGACTTTACCTGTGGCAAGCCATTCGTCAATCTTCAATGAATGTCCAATGACCTGGCATAATGAATTCGGTTTCGTTTCCGTTGGAGGTTAAAACCTCCACTATGATGTAGTTGATTGCTGTTCAACAGAAGACTGGAATAATTCGATCAGAAGTACATTATCATCAGTCGTGCTTATTTGCATGCTTTGAAGCTGAAACTTTTGCATCGGTAACGTTTCTAAGCTGTATTGCAGCCACTAGTGTTGCAATTTTCTCGTGCTGAATTCCTAACAATAGAAAAATAAACAGTCCTAGAATTATCAGTTTTTCTTCTGGTATTTTCGAGTTATTTGCAGTTCATAGCATTCTGAATTGATCCTATTGGTCTTCTGGCAACAACAGCAGCTCTAAAATTCATCGGTTGACAGTCCTTGAACCTGATACATTTAGACCAGTCTTCCACTGAAACTTTATGGATTTCATTCTCAACCGTGCGAAGTCACCACATAACAACACACTACTTGCACTGTAAATTTCGTCGTTGTTTGTTGTAGAGTTTAAGACTCGCCAGTTGACAGAACCCGTTGTCTCAGCTTCTGCTGGTACTCATCGAGGTACGCTTCTTGAGAACCAAGGCCTATGAAATGTAGCTCATACCACTGGCCATCGTCGGGTAACCATCAGAGTCAACGATAGAAATTCATGCAATGACTGGCTATTCCACTTCAGTGTAGTCCTCATTGATGAATGTCTCTCTGAGTTCAGGCGTCGCTTCTGTGGATTTAGTGCATCTCGCCGTCATTTTATCTGCTCCGGTTATATGGTCAAATGTCCATCACAAAGACCTGTCAGACTTGAATGTTTACATGCATGATATTTTCACGGGAGGACAACAACATTCCAGGTAGTCCATGACTTCTTTGCTCCACCCTTGTATCAGACACTATATTGGGCTACTGTAGCGTTGCTGAACAATTGTATTTTCACAGGCCTCAAAATGAATTTTAGAGTGACCATTGATTTAGCTGCACCAATCCTCAAGACGTTAGTACACGTTCTTATGTTTCGGTTCATTCAGAAATTATAATTGTTATCCATCATGGATACTCAGTACCTCGCTAGGACAGCTTCTCACTGATACATTGAACCATTCATCTTTGGCTAAGTTTCTTTTGGATGCTTCACTGTTGGAAATGACTAGCTCTCAGACAGCACTTCACCTACAAATAAACTTATTAACACGTAGATTTCAACGTTCAAAGTAATCTGAACCCCCATATTCCACACAAAACTTATTTTCCTGAAGTCTTATCCCGCTTTCTACATCTCGCTGACGATGCCTTGTGATGCTGTCGTTGAATGAAATTTATCAGAGGAATGGTGATGTGGCGTAGCAAAGTGTCATTCCATCCACCGAAGAAATTCTAGAAAGTTATAGAAACGGTGACTCTAAACTATAGCAGCCCAAAACGAAACTAACCTTAGCAATTAATCAGATTCGTAAGAAGTAAAAGTGCGCAGTTTGAAATAGACGTCTACATACAGGTAATGCAATGTTAAAAATTGTTATATAAGATAAAATCCTTGTAAATGTTCCAAAAAAACCTTCCAGTTCCTCGCTTGAGTCCTCATAGTCAGGTTAAACCAATTTTTGTAAATAAATTTGTCAAGGTCATTAGGTAGTTTCGTTTTGGGCTGCTATAGTTTAGAGTCACCACAGAAACATCAAGATGTACAGAGGGTTTTGAAGGTGTGCTACTTTCAATAGAGCAGTCGTTTTTCATTTGACAAACAAGCTCATTCACATCGGTTATATTACTTCCACTAGGTTGTAAGCAGTTTCATGTGTCTGGCAAATTAAATCAGAGGCATCTGAAAGTAGGGATCATTAAAGGGAAAAACCACCATACACTTTCGTTAATAAGTTCAGGATAAAGGAATAAAATTAACTGAAACGGAATTAATGAGTTTCTAGGACGTCATCTTCCTACACTTCTTGGAGGATTGCGAGCGAGATTAAAAAAGAATCAAGTCAAGCGATAAGCGTCTCACCACTTTGCTCAGAACCATACAGCAAATTTCTATAAACGCCTCCCAGCTGCTGAAAGAATGGTAACGTACGTGAGTCCTTTTATCAATGTATTGGAAATAATATGACCAAGAAATTTAAGTCTACAAAACCACAGAAAAATACAATCAACATTCCATCTTTATTTAATACACCAAAATTTTTGACAACCTTTTCTGCTCACCTCAGCGACTGATATAGTCAGGTTGATCAAAGGATTTGAATTTTCTGTAATTTCAGTGATTCTGTGAATTTTTGAACCCTATGCGGGCTTTCTAGTTTATCTTTCGGTGTTTCGCGAATTCATGTGACTGTCTAAAATTATCTTCCTCGATATACCTTCTGGGTGGCTTTATTGCACATTACCGCTAATTATAACGTCGTAATCCGTTTCTCTGGTTGTTCATTGGTAATTTAATAGTATTATAATATATTTATTCCTATCTATGTAGGACACATAAGTTGTACTTGGATGAAGTTTTGCATTAAAATCTTTTTCTGACGTACGTATTGTCGATGGCATTATATTCTTGAACTGAATTATACTTGATGCACTTTTATCAGAAAATGACGCTTAATACTAGTATCTGAGGAAGATAATGGGTTAAACGATTTAACAAGAGTCAAATGTATGCCTCTAAGTTTTCAAGAAATCATGCTACTATACTTGGCCTACCTAATGAAATCCCACAGTAACCACCGAATAAGCAGGTGGAGCCACTTTAAGAAAGGATACGTCGTAAAATCGACTCTACGTATGTCCATCTGTATTATTTTGTGACTGTTCAAGTATCCTGACAAAGCCAGTTAATCCTCACATTGGCATCAGATATATATTCGAGAGCACCTTCACAAATAGCAGGAAACAACACCTTTTTGATAGATTTGACTCTTAAAACGAGTATGGTGATCTGAAAAAGGTTCAGACGCAATTAGGCAGCTAGTATCCTGTGATTATTAAGAGCTTTTAGGATAGAATCATACAGGGTAGTGTTAGATTAGGGATCGTTATCGCTGTCTGAGTGGAATGAACAGGTCATATGGAAACAACACAGGTAGCAAAAAACAAAAAGTTGGTAAATTTGCAGTCCCTGGCTATCAAAATATGTTTTATAAACTCAGACACTAATAGTTTGGAAGAGTAATTAGCTGCCATTTTGAAAGTTATTAAGGATAGCGAAAATTTGCCAACAAGTGATCACTTCTAATTATAGCACTGTTAGTAAGAAAACAGAGAGTAAGTCCTGCTCTTTCTGCGAATTCGTCGTAAACACTATCTGATTAATGATGACCATGGTTTGTAACCTACTTTACGGTCACTTCTAAGAACACCGCAAGCAGCTCATCGACATGGTATAACCAACATGAAGAAATATCGCCAACGGCGCAGTGAAAAGTGAAACGCAATACACCGAAGTTAGCGATGAATGACAGCAAATAATATCACTGTGCTTATCATCAATATGAACTTTTTTGACGTACAAAATGATCTTCACTTATCCTGAGGAAAGGTAGTTGAGGTGTGTGTGCGCTTGAACTGGCTATTTTCATAACGAGTAGCGCTAGCCACGATTTTCCATAATCTACCAGACGTAGCAAGAGCGTGCGCGTAAGGCAATATCTATTTAATCGAACGGTCAGATTGTTGTTTGTTTATTCCTGATTTGTCGGCTGCGTGTTGGGATTTGTAACGTTAGCTTAGCCCCAATTCCTGATTACGAGACAACAAGTCTTGTCCCCTAGCGATTTGAATATCTACTCAAGTGAGTGTTTCTCTCTGACGAATGTTGAACTACAAACACACATTTTTCATATCGGTAAACAATATTTTCATAGTAACAAGCGATTAAAAAAACGTTACAATGCTACTGAGATGAAAACTATGAAGACCGAATAATTACTTTACTAAAACCCAGCTTCCAATTTACAGCCTCTCACAAAAGGCTTCCACTACTCTGTAGCTTTTAATTTAAGCAGTGTGATTTAGAAATTCCAGTACCTATGATAGAAACCTATCAACTATCACCTAAGAAGATGCCAGTTTTCATCAACTTGCGTCTGGGATGTGAATTTTTAGCACTGCTTGATATCTTATATGCGTTTCTAGTGACACCTGAACTATACATACATAAGTAAACAGAAGCGGTTTCCATTTGACTCGATTTTATGCTTTTGCTGTCTTAGACTACTGCCACCAGCATACAAAACGCATTTGATAGCGTGAATCACGAAATAACTCGTAAAATTAAAAATTTAGGGGTTAATATTTATTAAGGTTATTAAATGACCAGCAGCGGTAAACAAGATGTTACCTTACATAGATACAAATATATTTGTAGTAATGTTTAGTTTCCACTACAGGAACATCATAGGCTGCACCAATCACCAGTGCAGGACGAGTTCTTCACATTTGTGGTTTTGCGCTGCGAGTACTATTCTGCATATTTATGTCTACAAATTTTCTGTTTTCTTTCGTTGCATTACTTTCAAAATGTTAAATACCGATACTGTAGATGTTAATTTTTAAAACATTCACTCACTTTTGAGATATCTTGGAATTACGTTTCAGAAAATCTGTAACTTTAATCCTGCTTGAAATGACGCAAGGGTCTAAATGAAGAACTATCTCGTAATTAATATCCTTTTTTCTAATTTTAGCGTCTGCAGATCAATAGAAACACAAGGAAATTGCAGCTTATTATTTCTGAAAAATGAACTTGACCTTTATCAGAAAAATTTCAGGCATTACTGCATTAGATTTAATAACCACCTGGAATTTGAGCTCTAAATGCATTGGACATTGAGATGAATATATTGTACCTATCGAAGTGGAGGCAGGCGGTTGGTAGTTTGCGTTACTTAGTGACTTCCGAAACTCATATCATGGATTTTTTGAAGCGTTCAAAGTTCGACAAGTTAATCGGTATGAGTGATTTTGAAATTCTTTGAACACATCATATTTTTCAGAAAAAGCAACTAGTGAAATGTTAATCGAATCGGATATTGAGACCACAATAACGATTTGTGATATTATTCGCAGTCAAGAGATTTCGTAAGCTAATGACTTCTCTTATTTGAACTTTAGACCGAAATACGCTGTTCAGTGTGTTAAAAAACGTCTTCAGTGCGACAATCCCAATGTCGTTTTACATACACTTGATGTATTATTCACTTTTATAATAAATAGTTTCTGTAGGTCCTCGAGTCATTGATGAAAAATTGTGGCTCACCTGTCCATGAAGAAGTTTGTAGCTCTGAGTTCATGCAGGACCTTGTTGGATTGATCGATGTAAGTTTTTTGACGACGCTTAACCTTGTCTAGACCTCTCCAGATGTCCGCGCAAAGCTCCTCGAGTGTCTCCAAAACTGGGCATATGTTTTTCGCGATCAGTCGGGTTACTCGGCTGTAACAGCTGCCTATGAAAATTTGAAAAATGCCGGATATACTTTTCCGGAATTTTCAGAAAGCGCAGCTATGTTTAGTGTTGTTTGTGCTCCGAGTTGGAAAGAAGGAAATGCTTGTCACCGATGCAAGTCTGCGTTTACCACATTTAGACGCAAGGTAAGATCTTGTTTTTAATTTTGATTTTTATTAATTTAATCCTTTCTTTATAAGAACCTGCTCAGATGTAATGTTTAGTTTCTTGCCTTCATCATTTCTTTGAGATTAAATCGACACTTGCAACTTTGTACTACCTCTCATTCAGGTAGATAACCGTCACACGTATGGTGACTTATCATCTGTTAAGTTAATTTGTCAACATTTCGGAATTTCTGTTCTCTTATTAAACTTAACCCCGGGAGACTTAAGCCAGCTTATCACACTGAAGATATTTTTAAAGAGTATGAAAGTCAACTAGATATAGAAAAATTAGTCCTTTTCCTGCATTGAAATGAGTAGGTTGTGCTTTATTTGTTCAAGTTGTTTCGCATCAGGTCACTAACCTGTGTTGAGATTGTAGGTCAGGTACTTTGGCCATTAAGAACTTAGGTATAAAATATCTCATGAATCAAAGCAAGTCAAATAATAATAATCAAATAATCTGGTTCTGTTAAATAAGTGACTGGCAAACTAATGAACATGTATCGTAATAAACTTACTGAGGCAAAGTCAGGTAAATGTCAAGTAAATACAGCAGGCAAAGTTGGAAATATATCGTTAATTTTTAAAGGATCATTTTTGCGCCACATTTTAAGAAAATTTCTAAAATACTTCACATACGTCTCTAGACAGTTAATTTGCCCAAATTCGCTTCCTTCGTGCACATCACATTAACTTTAAGCATGAAATCAATTTTGGATGCTCAGTTTTATTCCTATATTATGTTTTATCTTCGAATGCTTCAACTATCTGAACTTTAAGTTGTAAATCCAACCAATCACTTTCAAAACCACGTATCAGATAATTTTATTTGATATAACGTACAGTGATATTATTAATAACTGAATGATTTTCATTGAGTTAAGCATTGTTAATAAGGCTCAAAGGCTGCTTAGTTTCCCAGGGTTTGTTTTTTTCCCGATCACTTTTTGGTTTAGCCGAGTATTGACACTAAAATTCGAGACGTTTTTATTAGCTAAGGTAATTCGTTTTAGACTTACCTTTCTTAGAAATTGTAGTCATCAGTAATTACTAGTGGTCAAATACATGTTTGATTCCCGTCCTTCAACTGAAACTTCGATCAACTTCACTTATGATCTTGAATTGTCATTGCTGAATACCTGTGAAGATATCATACTAGGTGGCTATTCATTCCATTGTTTCAGGTTATTTAAAACTGCCTCAACTTTATTAACTGTCTAATATCGTGTGAATCTAGATAACACTTGAATAAGGGGCAACGAATGAGTCAATGGAGATGTGGCTGACTAACTTAAACACCTGACTTTCACCGATGGGGCCCGCTCCATTTATTTAAGCATGAGCAACTGGGTAGTGTCACCAGCCCTCAAACAAGTGTGACATACGACATATTCTGGGTAACTGAGTTCTAACTAACTAAATAATGAAAACGTAGCTGTAGCTCAGCCATATTCTTTAAATTGTTATCGCTGTTGACTCCGTCGCCTCTCTTGCAAGTGGATCATATAATCATCATTCTGTGACGTAGTTTGTGTAAGCTCTGACCGCATTCTTGTCCCCGTAATATGTCTAGACCGTTAACTGCTGTACTTTAGTACTTTTACCTTGTGCTGTCCAGCACTACTTCTAGTCGTTGAGCAGGAATTGGTGACCTGCAATGTTTTCGCTTCTTGTGCTCGATAACTTCTAATATAAGTTGTTTCGCATCAGCCTGATGTGGGTGAATTTAGTGAAAAAATCTACTCCTTTCAGTCTTAGGATCAAAAGTATCTCTTGCTGTTGCTACAGTAGGTACTGTCAGGCTTCCAAAGGTCTAGCGAGCACGCATTTTTCTTTTTCATGATGACACTTCGCAGTTTTGGTTCAGTTGTACTTGGATTTCAGTGAATCATTCTTTGAGTATGTAATGATTTGCATATGCCACCACTAAGGTCCGTTTGTGATCACATTTTTGCGTTGTAAATACATTTACTAAGTTTCCATAGTGGCAGAATCTCACTACGTCTATAATTTCTCTTATGAACCACCATTTTTAATTTTATTTTAGCATCATTGCCGTAATTGCGGTCAAGTATTCTGTGGAGAGTGCACCACATCCCGTGCTATCTTACCCAAATATGGTATCGAAAAAGAAGTGCGCGTTTGCGACTTGTGTTTCGAGACAATTAACAGGTAATTTTTTCGAATATTCCTTTCTTACTCAGCATTCCTCTATTACTCTATTAGGTTATAAGCCTAAGTTCTGATAAACTTTCATTTTAATACAATCATTAATTGTTTGTGTCACACACTGTATGAACCGGAATCTTGTAGTCCGAAGATTCATATCATCATAACACTTATTTTTTATCTAAACATAAAGTCTCAGCAAGTCTCGCTAAATGCTTAGCACGACGTAGTAATTAAACTAAATAAAGACTAGGTGGAAAGTAACATTGAAAGAATAACAACAGCACTTATTACTTTGTATTCCCTTTAATAGTGGGAGGATCAAGTAAGCTGCTGCATACTCACAACTGATTAAGACTAAATCATTTATTTATCAATAATTGTCAAGTCGCAGCAACATTAGAATGGTCGAGATATGCGATTTATCCAAAGTATCATTAGTAATTTCCGCATACTTTACTGATATTACCTCTTCAGTCTCTCTCAATCCGTTTTAAGATAATGAGATAACATGAAAAAAATTGGTTGTGCAGTTTTCTATTCCTAGAAAGACTCCCATATATTTTATGATACCGAGCAGACACCTCCTTGAAGTCTGCGTTTATATACATTGGCTGAAAGTGCATCGCCTAAACCAAAAAATCACAGAGAGTAAATGCACTGCGTCATCCATCAAGAACTATTTTGAGCCATATCACCAATTGTCTCCAGCCTTCATTGGTTTTTACCAACCCGAGGGGACCCCAACCAGGATGTCTACACCTCCCTACGTCTCTGGTTTGACTAGTGAAGCCATGTTTTCGTCTGACCACCACCGGCTATCTCTTTTCCAACCTGATCCATCCTATGTCAGCTAACATTACCCAGTGTTGAGGAAGGCGATCGATGTCTAGGGATGCGTAACAAACACATGTACTAATCATCTCAATCGATGAAACTTCACAAGCTCGTCAATCGATTTACTCTCCTTACCTAGCAGTCGACCGATCGATGCCTTACCTCAATATTGCTCACACTATTACATCTATCACCTAATATGGGAGATAGAACGCAGTCATGGTATGCCAAGCTCCCGAGCAACCAATATAATGGGACACGTTAAGGGAAAATGTGTTTCATGCTAAATAATACATTGGCTGTTATTTACCTTTTAAAACTAATATATGTGGCTTTCACCGATGCATTGTTTTAAGGAAACAAAAATAATAATGAAATTGTCATCCAACTATCGGTGCCTGAATAGTGACTGAAGGGAAAGTTTTTCCTACATAGACATTCCCAGGAAGTTCTTCAATGAATAAAATATCCCCAAATTGAGTCATAAGAAAAAGGCGTAAACAGCGAAGAAAATTTTCTTTTCGACGATTCATTTTCATGAGCTGTACAATCGTAATTATATTTAACAAAGAAATCTTTAGACCAATCAGATACTGGTAAACTTTGTCCTCGAAAAATGTATTACGTAATGTAAGGTGTAACCTAGAAGGGATGACTAATTGTAAGTTAGAAAAGAGGCAGAAGTTGGCATGACGTAATAAGTGTGAGATAATGACTAATCAATAAGCTCGTGTAGAATGGACAGGAACTAGTGGAAAGGCGATAAAGTGTTTTTACATAAAATCTGTATGAAAAAGCAATGTTATTAATAAACAGTAATAGAGTGGTAATAAAATATGGATGATGGGAATAATAATGATAATAAAATAATAGTAGTAATAACAATAATAATAGTGAACTTACATAATAAAAAAGAAGCAAAATTATAGTAAGAACTTTACTCTGGCCACGGTAGGGCGAGTGAATGTATGTATCGCTTTTGAATGCAGAGGTCCGGTTTCAGATCTCGAATAGCTAATGCTTCAGCTATGTACAGATGGCGTATGTACGATATTGAGGGACTCTGTGTAGCACTGTGAAGCATTCATGCGGGGGTGCTCGATGTCCGGAGATGACAAGGTGTTCGAGGATAGAGCTGCTGCTATTCTTCTTTTCTCCTCTGGCTAACCAAGCTGGACAGTGTTCCAGAATACGTTTGTGGACTTGACGTTGCGTACGGCCGATATACTTTGCTCCACACGAGCAAGTAAATTGATAAATACACATTGAAGTGGCCAAAAGCGGTATCTTATCCTTACGTTAGACTGGATTAACTGTCTGCTGGAGAATGTGATACGTAAGGTGGCTGTTGGAAATGTCTTCTTCAGACATTTAGAAAGGCGGTTTCTGAGAATTTCCGCTGCGATGTCACCTTTGAATTCCAGGTTCATGAAGAGAGTTTTCTTAGGAACAGTTGCGATTTTTGGCGACGGAGGCTTCTCTTTCATGTTTTTGTCTATGAATCTTGGTGGATACCCGTTCTCTAGTAGGGTTTCACGTAATAAATTTAATTCTTTCTCTATCATGTCTTCCGAACAGATTTTTCTAATCCTTGAACTTAATGTACGTACCAGGTTTCGCTTTCGGATCAGTGGGACGAAGCTCTGGAAGTTGATAAACTGTCCCGTCCATGTTGGCTTGCGATATATCGATCTTTGGATCGTACAGTCGTGTCTTCTGGTAAGTAGTACATCGAGGAATGGAAATGCCATGTTCGATTCACGTTCTAAGGTGAATTTTATTGATGGGTGTGCTGCGTTGAAGGTTTTGAGGAGATAATCTAAATCAGATTTTTCATCACAAATTATGAACGTATCATCTACGTATCTCCTGTATAAGTGCAGTTGACTTATCAAAGGATCGAGGATGTTGTTTTCGAGACTAGCCATGAAGCAGTCGACTAGGAGTGAACCGAGAGGAGATCCCATGGCTATACCATCTTTCTGTACATAGATTTGTTCATTGAATTTGAACTGGATATTAAACGTACATTTGAGAAGTAGTTTCTTCAGGTAGTTTATGGGAAGAGGAACTTTTAGGTTGTTGGTTTCTACATCGAAAATGAATCATTGAAAAGAAAATTTTCTTCGCTGTCTACGCCTTTTTCTTATTCCCAGGAAGTGTGAAAGATTTGTTGTTTTAATGGAACTCAGATGACTTCGAAGCCAAACTTAGTGTTTTCATCAACCCCGATCGCTATCGCTAATTTACAGAGCGGGACTTGAAGTCAAGATCCATTGGCTACATACAGTTTATTAACTATATCTACACTGATATGTGTATCAGTAGAGTAATTTTTGGGGTAGTCAGAATTTCAATTTTCATCGGATTCACTATACCTCTTTTTATATTTGGGGGAGATAAAAAAGTCGATTCTTAAAGTATACATTTCTCAAAACTCTAATTGTTTATTATAGCTGACAAACAGTATCTTCATACTATTAGCATAATCAAAAATTCAAATTCAAACGACAAGGTTTGTTGTGTAGTCTAAATGGAAAACGTTTTGTTTGTTATGTCGAACAGTCACCAGATCAGTAAGTGTTGGTAAGTTGTCACTTATCAAAACACAGTTCTGTGTTCCAATTCATGTAAGTAGGATGTTTCTTCGTAGCATAGTGATTTCCTTATTCTATACACTGCAATACTAATTGGTGAAATAATTTTTTTCCCTCTATTGAATCAAGACCGTCAACAGCTTCAAATAATTTAGAAGATAAAAAGAACATGGAAAAAGAGAATCAGGTAGGTATGTTTGTGTTTTGTGTACAAATTAAGTTCTTAGATAAAAGTCTTTAATATTTCATTAATTCTCTTAAGTATTTCTGATGTCTTAAAATTTAGCATTCTTAATTCATATTCCGGCATCTTTTACATAATCGTTATGGCGTTCACTTTCACAAAAATATTCTAGATTGTCCTTTGATGCATTTATGACTATGTCTAGTATTCCTCACAGTGGTTTATAGTTTGCAATTTTAGTTTTTGCGATCTTGTTGTATGCTGGGTGGGGGGCTCAAAGTGGCAAAGACTTTTCAGTGTTGACTAGCACTCTATATTTGTATGCGCGGATGTTCTACCTGTGTATATTTATTACCAAATAGTTCCATAAATGATTCCATCACATTCTTCTGCAATGTATAATACCATAAAGGTTTGATGTTTTTTCGGTGCAAGAGTGTGTAGTACTTCTGTCGAATTTCCGTAGATGCACTGGATTCAACGAATAAGCTAAAATCTGTAAAAGACAGTGGACGTTTGTAAGATATATTACACTTTATATCACTTCACTCTCTTTCTCATCCAACTGTCATAATGATTAGAGGTTAAAAATGTCCAAATATATCAAATATATAATTCAGCTGTTCTGGCGAGAATGTACAACACTGATTTATTCTGTACGTGCTATCCTAGCGGCTTCCATTCCGTTTTCTGACTGAACATGCTTGGGAGAATCGAAGGTGGACTGACCACTTAACGTATAACCTTGCACAGAAGTATACCAGTTCAAATTGCTATATAAAAGAGAATAGAAATAGTCATTCTACAATAAAAATATGTGTATGAAAAAAAGAATTGATTAAATGAAGAGTAGTGAATACATTCTATGATCAAAAGAATTTGTCTTCAACTTCAAAATCTACATCTGTCTAACTCTAAATCACCAGGAACTATTCCTGTTAACGTATCGATTTCTAAGATTGCTAACACTCGTGTATGTTCTTTAAGGGATTCTGATCAGTTGTATTACGTTTCTTTTCTTAAATCCTTTTCTATTGTTTTGTGAATGACACATCCGTTCAAGGTTTTGTTTAAATCCATTTGTCAGTCTGACACTGAATTGGGGTTTCATCTTTTTTAAATATGACTGAAGTGATGCATCCCCGTCAATCATTCTGCTGCTCTTGTAATTTTGTATGCCTTTTTAATGGTACAGGGTTATGAGGTCATATGTTTAAAATCCTAAATATGAATTTTCACTAAGGCTTATCTTATCAACAACAAGTTTTCTGGGAAATGCTTGGAATCCTCTGCCGATTGCTACTTAATCTCATAACCTTAAGGCAGAGTATTGTCTAACTTGGTGATGTGTTAGAAACCAGTGTCCTGAGTTACTTTATGACTTTGTTTAAAATGGACCATACATTCATTTATTCATTGTCTTTTTCCATACCGTTAAAATGCCTTGCAATCCGATATATATATATATTTGATGTTCTTTCGGTTACTTTTAATATTTCGTGTGTATCACGAGGTATGTCAACTTGAGCTAAGTCCATATCATGAGGTTTTGCAGTTTGTTATTTCGTTATAATGACACAGTTGCATTTTTAGTGTTATGCCTACGCACAATTGGATCATCTGTTCTACCTTGCTAGGTTGTGGTAATTGTCCACTTCTAAGCATTTAAGTTCTATTTTCACTCTGACTTATTTAGGTTACCAGTTTTGCGATTTTTTGTAAGCTACTTACAACTCGAAGACGAACTGTCTTTGTTGCTCAGTGATTTACAGAATTTAACTTTATCCTAACTACCAGCTTCGACGCGAAAGGGAACTGAAAGAACGACAACTAGAACAACAGGAAAATGAAGATTTGGAATTAGCTCTAGCTTTAAGTGCCAGTGAAGCTGAGACAAACCAACGAAATGTAAGTTGTTATATTGGTATACTTTTTTTTTCATCGTGATTCATAATTACTGAGTGCTATATATTTAAATAGTCCTATAACAAGTTCCCGTGCGTCGGTGGCGTAGTGGTTAGGACGCTCGCCGACCATGCACATGGTCCGTGGTTCGATCCCCGGCCGACGCACTCCTTTACCTCGCTAACCCAGAAATAACGCTGGTGAAGAGGAAAGGTTAGGCATGAGGCTAGCAACCTCATCCTGTAAAATAAGCACTGCTACAGAAACTTCAAGCCATTAGCTTGAAGCCCTATGTTCCACTTGGGGACGTAAAGGAAATAATAATAACAAATTCCCAGCAGTTTTACCTGATTTTATACAAGGTAATATATAATGCTTCTTAATAAGTTGAACAGTTACTATCGTCATCGTTTGGATCATTGTGAAACCCTATTTTATAGTGCTTTGTTATGTTCTGTTTGCCGATTGGTGTAAATCGTGAAGTTTTCATTGATCATTTGGAATTCTAAGTGAAATAACCGCCTTCCCTGATAACCTTAACCACGGAGATTTCTTTATCGTTGTATTAATCAAAACATTCATAAATGGGATTTTGTCCTCTTATTCTTCTTCCTGTGTATATTCCATGTTGTAAGAAACATTGTTGGTGAAGTTATGAGTGCTTTCCACATCAAATTATTTCTTCATACTTTCACGAATGCATAGTATCTCTTTCTTACCTGATACCATTTATACTGTCAAGTGGGTGACGTATTTTGGCCCGTTGTAAAATCGAGGTAAAATGAGTTACTTAGATTTTATGAACCATTTATCTTACTTTGCGATTTATCCTGACATGAGTTAACTTAAGATTTTTTTTGTTTCCCTTTGGTTACGATTTTTTCATGAGGTAGTCGCATGCACAAATTATCTTTGAGCAGATCAGTTATCAGGTAGGCAGGTTATTTCATTCAAGGGGAAATCCCAAAAACTCAATTCTGTTCCATGTTAGTCCTGGAGAATTTGTGGAGAAGGATAGTGAGGGCTTCACAATTAAACTATTCTCCTTTAAGAACACAACGGCACCGAAAAAATCATATTTACCCACTAACCAGTTACTTTCTAATCATTAGTCTACTGTAGGCCTCCGTTCATGGTAGAATGTTAATCTGTTTTTATTTTCTGTCAAATAAATAATGATGGTTCGAAAAAAATTTAGTAATTCTTGCATCTTTTGCATTGTCTACCTAGTTGGTGTATATACTTTCACCCATTCCCGTCTAGTATTGTGTAGATTGTTATTTTCCACATATTACTTCAATAAACAAATAAATGACAGCATCAACTATTGTATATCAGCCTGTCAGTTGTCAAGAATATTTCAAGTTATCGTTTATGCATTATTCGACTGACAAAAAGTTTCTATGATCGGATAATATACTACTTTGGTTTCCTAAACACTTACATGGAACAAAATTCACACTCGTTGCAAATCTCTTTGGGAATTATATATATAATGTTGAAAATATGGTTAAAATGTGTGTGCAAGTTTACAAATTTTTGGCACTTATCTATAAAATTTAATTCATAACGACATTTACACTATACAGTACCTAGCTGATGTCGGAAATATGCTCTTGTTATGTTATTAGTTTATCCTATATAGTGAATTTGTTTGTCTTTTTGTAACAGAATCAAGTAAAACCTGTCTCTAATGTCAATAAACCTCCTACATCATCGACGTCTGGAGTTGCTCATCTCCTTCCGGTTCTAGATACAAGTGAAATGGATCCTGAACTTGCACAATACCTGTCTAAACACTATCAGAGAACGCATAAGACTCCTCTTGATATGAATTCACCTGGTGTGCCATTTCAGGAATATTCTCAAGATCCTTCTGGCCTTTCACAGTCTACTACTCAACCGAGTGCACCTATATACGCTTCTAGTACACCATCTGAGCATGGTATGCTTTCACTGACCTCACTTAAATCGGGTTTAAACAATGATTTAAACGCATCAGAAAAAAGAGCATCGCTTGTAACAGTAAGTTTTCTGAATTCACTATTGTAATGTCCTTCATGAAGATATACCACGAATTCATATATATATATATATATATATATATATATATATGAGAGAGTTTACTGATGACATTACTACGGAATAACATTGGATCTAATAAGAATAAAAATAATATTACTAGAAGTCTTGGGGGAATTAAACATGGAGAGATTAGAAATGGCAAGAGAAAGACAAAGTGTACAGTTTGCTATAGTCGAATTTTCGTTGTATTACATAAATGCTCGATCTTGCCCATAGTGTGTTGCTGCGATTTGGTCGTTAGAGGACATTAAAGTGTATTGGTACCCGTACAAGCGTATGGCGAAATTCTGGCTCCAGCTTTCAAACAACACATTTCTGCAGTGCGAAAATTGCAATGCTTTGAAATTCAGTGTATTTGACATGTGTTTCACATCTGTTAAACTTGAGGCAATGCTACAAAATTGTTCTGCACCAACTTCTTATTTTGAAGGCAGAGGACTGAATGTCTGACTGCTTTCTGGTGAAGTGGTTGCTGATAAAATCACTGCATGGATAAAGAAAGAATTGTTAGGAACTTATAATTTTTTCTCCACACCTTAATATCCTCTAGTGGTTAGCCAGTGAGTGACTGTCTTGTACAGCAATCCTCTCTGTTTTTCTGGGGTATGTGACAATTAAAGCCAAACACAAAGGAAGTATGCATATATTTATTATGTCTTTGAAGTAACCTATAGCTGTAGTGAAACAACAAGAAGCTGAGTGAGAAAATCATTTCGAACGGTGTAGCTATGAATATGCATTGAAAGGGATGTCCGAGATATTCTTAGTACATGTGTGAAATCATTGATTTTTCCGAAGAGTTGTTACGGTCAAGGCCCAAGAAACCCGATCTCCTACATTTTGCTGAAGTAATTACCATCGAAATCTTTTTATGCAGAAAGAGACAGTGATGTCAACCTTTTACTACGTTGGTGATTATACCTACAAAACAAAGGTAGACGTATTTTTACTGCATCATCCACTCTTGAATATTCTTTCTTCTGAATGAAAAGTCTTTAATTTTTGTTTGAACTTCGCTCACCTTACTCCTGTGGTTATTGTAAAATGTTTTCGTAATTAGGCAACCTCTTATATACCAACAAACTGTTTCGAGTTGAACTTTGTTTCTATCCAAAGTTTTGGTCTCTGTCCCCAGTTTTTTCAAGAATATTCGTTTAAATAATCTTATAAATAGTTAATCCTTTTGCCATCTAAGTAATTAAACTGCTTACACTATTCTGACTTATCTCACCTATGCTTTTTGTCAATAACATTGCCAGTGTGATAAAAGTATATACAAACTTCTTTATAATTTGTATATTTTGATATAGTTTAGGTTGTAAAGAATCTGCGAAATAATAAAGATGAGCTCATATTTATCCTGTTACACTTGTTCTTCTTGCTTTGCTTAAATTTACCAATGGGAAGAATTGTTACTACTATATTATGAAAGCCATATCAGATTCCCATTTCTCAGTAATTTAAAACAGTTTATCTGTTAGTAAAAATGACTTTCAAAAATATTATTTTCAGAATTCAATTAATGGGAATAGTGATGTAAACCCCAATATGCCAGATGTTCCTGAATTAACAAATCCAAAGCAAGAAGAGTTTCTTGAAGCTTTACGCGGTAGTATAGAATTCTTCGTGAATCGCTTACAAAGCAATAATCAAAGAGGACGGAATATTTCAAGTGATACAACAGTTCAAGCTTTATTTCTGACTCTGAATGATATGCATCCACAATTATTGAAGTATAAACATTTCATGGAGGAACGGCGAGGTGAGCGTTTTAATTGTTTCCTCAAATGTTCAGTTAACCCGATTTTACTATTTGGCTGTGATAGTTATCAGAATTATTATAGCACCAATAGTATTACTGATGTCGAAGAAACTTACTGGCAGATGGATAACTACCATTTTATCAGCAGCATATTATATATTAAGCCAGTGATACAAGATTACGTTCAGCAGATTACTGATACCTGAGTTGTGAATATTATTATTATAGAACACTTTATAATGTTTTTTAACCTCCTCGTTTTTTTTGGAATATTTATCGTCCGCCTTTACTTATTTTTTTATCCTAGCCTATTTTGAAAAGCTGCAAGATAAGTTGAATCAAATTCGAGAAGCTCGTGAAGCTCTGGATGCACTGCGTCACGATCACGCTATTCGTAAACAGTTGGAAGAGCAAGAAGCAGCTCGTTTGCGTCAGCTACAAATTATGCAGAAATTAGAAGCTATGCGTCAGCAGAAAAGAGTAAGTTAAATGTACATCTTAGCTGGTCTGTATGCATGATGCAAAATGTGATGGAATTCATATTTCGCTTAATTTAGCGTTTTAGTGTCTTTTTTTTATTCCTTCACGTCCCCAGTGGAACATAGGGCTTCAAGTTAGAGGCTTGAAGTTTCTGTAGCAGTGTTTATTTACTTTTACAGGATGGTGTTGCTAGCCTTATGCCCAACCTTTCCTCTTTACCAGCTTTATTTCTGGCTTAGTGAGGTAAAGGAGTGCGTTGACCGGGATTCGAACCCCGGACCGTGTGCATGGTCAGCGAGCGTCCTGACCACTGTGCCACCGACGCACGTTTTTGTGTATAAATAATTAAAAATGGTAATGACATTCGACAGCAATATAAAGAATATCGTAGACGTGTAAATACCAATGCATTTGTTGGTACTTACAATTTAATAGCCATCACACATTCATCTTCAATATCATTTCCAATAGTAAGGCTTTTTCGAGTTATAGTAATGGGGCCATACTCCTATCAGCGAAGTTCTAGTGATTAAGTACCCAACTTTATAGAAAGGCACCGAATACCGTTAGTGTAAACAATTTGATTGTTGCTTCCATTCCTGAAAAACAGTGAAAATAAAAAAATGTTGGATATACTTATCCCGAAAAGTAATGCTATCAGTTTAGTCGCCGTCTTTATCCCATCCGCACATAAATTATGTGTTATCCTTGATGTAGGATACAATTTTAGTTTATTACCAAAGGTTTAATGGGGTTGATTTTAGGTGTCGTTATATTCCTATATGCTCAAAGAATCAAGCCAGCATATTCAGTCTATGCAATAATCTCTCTTTGGCTAATGTCTTATAAACATTTATAGCGTAAACGGTAATTTACCACTAACCAGTAAACGCAATGCTTTAAATTGGATGTATTTTTTCAGATCAACAGAGTATCCTGAGAAAACCAATACGCCTATGAATTTAGTTATTAAAGATAGGTGTGAGGATATTGTTGTATCATATAAGAAATAAGTCTTATAATGGCTTTTACGAATTTAAAACAAGCAACAAAGGCTAATAAAGCAGGATTTAATGAATTCATCAAATTTCCGTAGAACTCGTCAACTCAACTAATATATATATCTTTGGACATTTTAGGAATTATCGGTTCTACTTTTTATGCATGCACTGTGAAAAAAGAGTTGTAAATTTTTCATATCAATCGTCAAACCTGTTTTTTTGCAAACTTCCATGTATCTCTATGTAGGATTCTCTGGAATACAAACTGCGTATGACACTTAAACAAAATATGCAATATCAACAAGAGTTTGGAGTGTCACAACCACAGTCTATGCCGTATAATGTTGAAACATTTCCTCATGTGCCGACTGCCTTGCCTGCAGACAGCTACCCTTCTAATTATAACTTACCTTATACGTCTGGACTTAATTACTCACAGTTTCAACCTGTGCAAAATGGTTATCTACCAAGAGACAACAGAGTATATACTACGCAACTACCAGAACCGGTTTCACTTCCGCCAAACCAAAATGTCACTAGTGGGTCAGCTAATACAGCTTACCCAACTGCTCACTTCCATCCGTCTTATGTTCCCAATCTGCCCGGGCAAGATATTCAGTCACATCCGACATTCCAACAGGGAACACATAATCCAGTGCCTGCCAATTCTTTCTCCATGCAAAGTGAGTCTTTTGAATATGTGATGTCATATATATACATATTGATGTGGATGCGTTCTCTGAGCTGGATGGTTTACTTGCGGAGCTTTCACTTCCTTACTAGGCAACATCTTCAGTGCGCACTTCCATTTGAAGTGAGCTCTTAAATCTCTCCACGAGTTTACTAGTCATCTCTCCTGGTAACCTTGGGCGTGATTGGTTGCCTTTGTTTTCACACCCTCTAGTCTACTTGTATTGGTATTGATCGGTTTCTTGACCTGAAGTTCGAAAGCTTCGCAGGTAAACCATCCAGCTCAGAGAACGCAACTACATCGAAATCATCCATCTGAGCTACAAATCTCCATTATATCTACCCATATAACTCTATATATACATATACATGTATAAACTCACTTATTGGACTTCACATGTTTTTTACATTTAGATATGCAGGCAGCTTTGCCAATGTATTCAGGACAAGAGGATGCTGCTCGCGAGGAATTAAAGTCTTTTCCCACTAATCAAACATATACCTCCAGCCAATTTCCGACAGAAACACAGAATACTTCCAATTATGCTCCAGGTGGGACTGTACCAAGTGATACTCCAAGCAACTTTGTCGAACCAGCCACTACAGAAGCTCAGTTGATATCCTTCGACTAAACAGAAGAATTGGATTCATTCATCTTATACACCAATCAAATCTCGTGATATGTATTTTTTTTTGGAGCAATTAGTGTTTATTTCAGTCATTCGTATTTCACTCGTTTTACGCTTGTTTTTTTTTTTCTTTGACGCGAATGGAAGATACCATAAATGTGATTTTATTGATTTGTTTACATTTTAATGGTTTACTTGTCTTATTTCCTTTTTACGGTTCTATTATTTTATACTTTTAATTTTATCTATATTATTATGATCATTATTTATATGATTGTGAATTTCACTGACATTTTACAAAGTATCTTGTTGACACTTGGACAACTTTAACTTTACCCACTTTACTTGGATAATTTTAAATACTAAGCTCTAATAGGTACATAAAAAAGCACTGTAGAGGTAATCACAATACAGCGTTGAAGGTGTTCATCTGTAATTGTCACTTTATTACAATTTTTTTCTTTTTATCTAATACAATCAATAAATTGCAAAGCATAGTTGTTAATTTTTAAATAATCCGAGAACAGAACTTTGAAATTACGAAGCACAAATGTCAGGCGTGCACGTGTTTCCGCTGCACAGGTTAATCATTTCAAGTACAGTTAAATGCTAGATGTTAATCACGCATTACATATTACCATTGATTATGTAGAAGCAGCTTTAATGCTGAGTGCGTGTGCGTTAACCGACTAAGCTGATTTTCATTAAGACGTTATGTAGTTATAGTGTTGCCTAACTTGTAGAATATTCATATGGTTGGTGATGATTGACTGGAAGTAAAAATCTGACTGCTGGCAAGATTCGGACCAATAGCTTCCGATTTAGTCATCGTTTGACTGACTAACTGTGCTTTGATATAGGACTTTGGCCATACATGCAGCAATTCAAGCAGCCACACTCCATATAGCCCACAAAGGAGAAAGAGAAATAGATTCCTAAGGACCATAATAAAGAGAAATGTGGGGGAGAATGAATAGCAGTGTGAAAAGAAACTTGACTGTTTAGTGGATATGGTATATTACGAAAAGTGAGTGCGTCTCCGCCATCGGAAACGATTCTGAGCCATATCACCAATAGCCTCCAATCATTGGTTCTTAGCATCCCAAGGACCCCAACTAGGCCACCTAAACCTCCAATATGTGGTTCAAACCAACTGCCAGTCTTCATGAACTGATGCAGGTTATCGCTCAGACCATCACACTGCTCTTCGAAGAAGAAGGAGACGGTTTGGCCTGCTCTAAACTTGTCCTAGACGTCTCAGTCGATGTAGCTTCACAACCTCATCGACTGACTTACCCTCCTCACCGACTGCTCTACGCGTAACGTCAATACTACTCAGCATACTATCCAATTAAGAAGGGAGACAGAGCGCAAACATCTGTGGTCAAAGGCATTCATCTGCATTTCTGAATCCATTACGAGTTCCATCAGTAGTTATGGGAGAGGAAAATTTCGCAACTATGGTGTACATTTAATTCATTTTTCAGACTGAGTTATACAGTAACTGCAACGCGGGGGCATTCATTTGCAACCGAGTGGAAAAACGTGTTTAGCATTTCTCGTTTCAATACACTTTAAGAATGCATTAGCAATTTAACTGTCAGTCATATATGACAACTTTTGTGTCATAAAATACGTTTTGACATTAAAAGTTGATGTTCAGCTGTAATAAAAAGCCGCCCCTAATATATTAGATCATATATCTAGATTCCACTGATACTAGAGTATGGATATATGTTTAGTGAAAGTATTCCCCATTTGATAATTCCTATTAGTATTTTACACTAACGTGAACCTTCGTGTAGCTGTTGTATATGTGTTTCTATACTATACTAATATGTCTGATCCAGGTCCTTTCGTTTGGTTTTTCGGCGAACGTAGCTACAAACTTCAGTTTATCATATGCAGTTAGCTCCTGGTGTTATTGTAAGTTGAACTGTACTTACTTTTGGTCTCTTGTAGTTTGTCGAGCATTCTGCTCAGTTTCGTGATTAGCGGCTTTAATTACCACAATCATGTCGCCATATAATAGTTGACGTTGAATCGAACTGTGATCGTCAGGTACAATGGAATGGGCAACTTTTAGTTAGTTGTCTCAACGTAATCGGGACAAATATTATGATGACTGCCAAAAAGCTAAACCAGCGTACGGCTCACTGAAGAACTATCAGGTGCTCTGAAAGAGTCACCAATGCCACTGGTAGCTGCTTGTAGTATAGGTCCAGTCGACTGGTTAATAGAGGTCTCTAGACGGAGCTACAGTGTCTGGATGACGACTCAACTTTCACTTGCATCCACCATTGTGCAGGCAAAGCTGATTAAAATACAACACTTCTTATGCCAGCTACTTTTCACATCTATCATAAACTGTTCGTAAACTTCTGTTAAAGATCTAGCATAGTGTAATTTCATCTGTATCGCGTAGTGGAATAGTACAACATAACTCGTAGGTTGAAAACCTGAGATGTGCTTTCCGAGGTGATTACTATTGTCCTGGGCTCCGAGCACATCGCCGTCTCACTCTGTTCTCTACAGTGTTTTCTAGCTGGCTTTACGATCACCTGCAAGCTTTCATTTCCTCTCCACACAATCTCTTCAATACCACACTCGGACGCTCAAGACATCGCTCCTCATGCGGGTTCCACTTGGAGATCCGGTGTGTGATGTCATGCAACCGCCTCCTCAATGTGTGTTTAGTCAATCTCAATTTCCTTCTGCATATTTCTTGAGCAATAGGTTACTGGTTGTTTCTTCGCGAAACTTCCTTGTCGCTTATGGATTCTATCCAGCTATCTGACTCTCAGTGTCGGTTCAGAGAAGACAGTTGTGTAGTCGACTGTTCGAAATGCTTTTAGTGGCGCAAGCACCAAGTATCTGAACCGTAGAGAATCACTGAATTGACATTAGTGTGGGAGATTTAGATTTTTCCTCATGTGATGGATGTATTATCAGTCATATCATCGTTCTCTTACTCCTGTCCTCCCTTCAAACGCTTCACTGATTTTTCCGTTGTGAATCACTCTGAATGTGGCATCAACATATTGCTGCTGAATGTGGTTTATTAATGTTTGCTGAGCTCCATTTCGTGGTGTTGAACCGATCTCCAAATCACTTCACGGTCGACGCTATCGTAAGACTTTCCAAAGTCGATGATGCCGAATTGGAGAGCTAGTGGCGATTCTATGCTATGTTCGATGATGATGTGTAGCGCTGCAATTTTATCAGCATATGATTGACTTTTCTTGAATTTGGCTTGACCCGGGTGGAGTTTCACATCCAGTGAATCTTTTAGTCTTTGTGGGATAATCCGACTCAATGTTTTGCTTGGTATGGACAAGAGCATGACTCCACCGTAGTTCATTCAAAGGCCTAAGTCATGCTAATATGGGAGTAAGATAAGGTGGTCTTGTTTCAATCGGTAGGTAGCCTTCCTGCGAACGCTTCAAATTGAAGTAAGCGCTGAAGATGTCACCTAGTAGGGTGATGAAAGCTTCGCAAATCAACTATCCAGCTCAGAGAACACAACCACATCAAAATTATCCACCTGAGCTACAAATCTCTATCATCTCTGAAGCTTCTACAGTAGTGGCGTGAGCACATTCGTTAAGGTTACTGTGTGTGTTTCCTGTACTTCTGACTGACTGGTTTCAACGTAGAACTTTGCACCGATGTGCAGCGGTTTGAGTCACCACACTCCATGTAGCACACAAAGCAGGATAAGAGAGTGGAGAAAGATTCAAAAGAGAGATAACAAACAGAAGTATGAGGCAAAAAGAATAGTGATATGAGAGAACATTGTAGTTCTATTGGATCTGGTAAATCACAGAAAGCGAATGCACTGCGTCATCCATCAAGAACGATTTTGAGCCTATTGTACCAATTGTCTCCAGCCTTCATTGGTTTTGTTAGTATCAACAACTCTCCAACTCTTTTGTGTATAGATAACTGCAGATACAAATGAGGAAGTGATCGAAAAGAATATTCTTTACTCAGTCTTTTTCGTCTTAGAAATGAGAGTATGCATTGTTTTACATTCTGCTAAGCAGAAGTTGAGCATGAAGTGTTATGTGATGTCATTAACAGTACAGTTGACTTAAAAGTAACTAGTTATTTGTCACTTTCGAGAAGCTTCGGTAAATGACCTAAGAACAAAACACTGATTAACCAGCGATATACTGGGGAAAAGATTAAGCCATAATATGTAACAAAACACCGAAAAGTTATGTGAAATCGATCAAGTGAGTTGAGGTCAGTGGGTCAGAAAATGATGATTACAGTAATAGCAGTAGTAACAGTAATGATGATAATAATAATAATAATAGAGAACAGAATATGTAATTATGTTGTGAGTGGAATAATTGTTACCAGGGTGAACTTAGATTCATCGTGGTTTGTTTCTGTATACACATGGTCAGTTTGAGTAGCTTGATAGCTATAGATCCAGGTGAGCGTAGTTACTTTGAATTACTTTTCTTGTTAATAGTGGTAAATGAAGTTAGAATATCCACTTTACGTTCCGATTCCAGTAGACGTCGGCCAGTGGTGCTCTTAAGGGACTGGGGACCTTTGAATCTGGAGGTTGGAACATGTTCGAGGAAGCGGGTGGATGCCCATATTTGTGTCCTTTCCATGTACTTTCCTTCGCACACATACGTGAACTTGTAAACAAAGCTGGAGGTGGCTTCTGATGCGTACCTGCACACTTTCATTTAATAAACAACACAAATACTTTTGTAATTGGAAACAAGTCTGGCTGTCAGATAGGCTGAAGCAGTGGCAACTTTTAGTCTTTTCTTTGTTCGGTGTGACACATCACTTCCTTTGAAAGTTCACTGGATAAGTATGGGCTTCCACTGTAATCTCTCCCTCTTCATCATATGATTTTTTCACACATCTGTTTTCCAAGAAAGTTCAACTCTCCACGCAGTCTGTCTATAAGAACGACTGGAGCTGAAGAACAGCTCCACTGTGTACCAAATCACCATTATCAAGTACATATATAGGTCTCATAAGTTGTACAGCTCTCCCTCCTCGAAAGAGAAGGCACTAATCCAGTGCCTGCTCGCGGAATCGGATAAGCCAGTTTTCCGTCTTTTGCAACTTCACACTTAGAAGCCACCAGTGAGGTGTTAGAGGTTGACGGAGCTGGGATGTCATAATGTACTGTCAGTATTTCTTCTGGCCTCTGCAAATATCGTATGACGAAAGCGACAGGAGAACGTTTGAGGATGATTTGGCAAGGATAGTGCCATGGGATAGCAAACGTACTGGTTTGTGGTCGATATCACCAAACACGGTTCCATGGTATATAGGTATCACCAGGGGTTAACCAATCATGGTTCAGTTATACATATGTGGCTGCTTCATTCCCTCGGAGCTTCTGTAAATATGAAGTGTATTCCAAAGTCTCATGGGAGAGAAGAGTTATGTGAATTCCACATGTTACGCGTAGTTTATGCCCGAAAAGCAGACGGGCCGGAGGAAATCCAATCCACAAGTGCTTAGCTACCCGGCATGCAAGTAGGTTTCGTGGCAAAACTTTATCCTAGGAATCAATCGAAGTGTGACTGACGAAAGCCCTAGGTGTTGCTTTAACTGTTCTGTTCGTGAGTTCTATCTTGTCGTTCCCCTGTGCATGATAACGGGTAGTGCATGTCTT